TTCAACCTATTGTTCCTGTAAGTTTTCTTGTAATTGTCCTATTTATTGTTACATCCCCCCTCTCAAAACTTTGTAAAGCGCTACGGAATCTGTTGGCGCTATATAAATGGCAATAATAATAATAATATTGATATTCACTTTACATGAAATGGAATGTTTCAAATCAATGCACTGATCTTCTAAAATAAATGTTCATTTATTGCAGCCACATTGCGATGGAAACGTGACATTTAAAGGTGTGCAGTTTAATTACCCGACAAGGCCTGATGTCCAAGTTCTTCAGGGACTGGATTTGACAGTGAAGAAAGGAGAAACGTTGGCACTGGTGGGCAGCAGTGGATGTGGCAAAAGCACAACCGTCCAACTTCTGGAGAGGTTCTACGACCCAAATGATGGAGATGTGGTAAGAGTATGGTTTATGTGTTTTAAATACATAGATGCCATGACGAGGATTAATGAAGAAGAGTCCACTGAGAAGGTTTTTAAGCTTTAGCTCCATAGGAGTTTGCAAATCAAGCCAAAGCATTCTGATGGTTCACAGCATTAAAGGGTATTTTTATTAATTAAATAAAACGAACAAACAAGAAAGAACTAAGAGAGATCTCTGCTACAAATCGAATGTTTTCACCATTAAAATTAAATAAAATTTATTCTGATAACAGAAGGCTTCCAACTGAGTTCAGCTCAACCCTGCTTCACTGTATCAATGTATAAAACACAGGAAGATGCAGGAGGCAGATGATTTTATCTGTCCATGGGAGGTGTGCCTATCTCTGGTAACTGAAACGTTTCAGTTTTATTTGCTAAAGTGTGAATTGTTGGAAATTCATTGTTTGTTTCAAACATTCGCCCCAAAATTGCATAATATGAAACATAGCTGCCTGAGATTATTTTTTTCCCAATTCAGCTGTTTAAAATTCACACTTTAGTGAATAACCACTCAAAAAATATTTAATTAGATGAATAGCAATACCAAGAAAAGGCCAGGGAACAGCCAGCAGTAGAAGTGTACGTTTTACTTACTCTTACCAAGAAGAGACATGTAGCAGTCTAGAATCCCAATAGAATCCTAAATGGAGGAATTGGCACATAAGATGTGGTTACCCAGATGTGGCAGGAGGAATCTGGGCACTAGCTCGCATTCTGACTTCTATCAATGTGGCATATGAAACTACGATGTAGTTGCTATTGATTCATATTGCGTGCTTGAGAGTAATTCAAATGTCATTGTTCCTAGTGCTTGGATGGCAACGGTGTGAAAAGCCTGAACATCCAGTGGCTCAGAGCACAGATGGGGATAGTTTCCCAGGAACCCATGTTGTTTGACTGCAGCATTGCCGACAATATTGCATATGGTGACAACAGCAGGACGGTGACACAAGAAGAGATTGAAACGGCAGCAAGAGAAGCCAATATCCATAACTTTATTGACTCACTGAGCGATGTAAGTTCATAGCTTAACATGTTTTCACGTAGAAACATTTTTTTTTCTTTTATAACTTGCACACATTACATATTTTTTCTTTATCCAAATGTGTTTTTGCCACATTTATATCTTGTATACCAATTGCACAGAATTGCAAATATGCTGAGAGTTTATTATAAATTAATTATCTGAACACATGGGTGAAACAACCAAGTCATGCAATCTGCACTCCGTATATCTAACCATCCTCTCATCGTCATCTCTGCTAGAAATATAACACACGTGTTGGGGATAAAGGGACCCAGCTCTCTGGAGGACAGAAGCAGAGGATAGCCATAGCTCGAGCTCTTGTACGGAAACCCAAAATACTTCTACTGGATGAAGCTACATCTGCCCTGGATACAGAGAGTGAAAAGGTCCGATATTCTAATTTGCTTTTTTATATTATGGTATTAATTAGAAACTGTAAATTAATATTATTAAAATGAATGATACATAAAAACCATAATCAAGAACATTAAGACTTTAGATTATTATATTTAAACATTATAGATTTGTAATATTCATACAAATTAAAGATTGTGTGCGTACATTATTTTCTGTTTAAAAGTATACTTGGTAAACTGCAAATTACAGACTGGTAAGTTTACCATTGCTAGTGGAGAAAATATAGTTTTGATAGTATAGAATATAACTTTATTATGTCTACACGTGTCAAGCTAGTTTTGTAGGATTCTAAGAATTATCCGTTTGAAACCCGTGAAAAACCCCAAGACAATGTTCCAATTAAACAAAAATCATAAGGAATGGATTGTGTTCTAGCTCCATTTGATTTTAAAAATATATTTAAAATCCAACAGATTGTACAAGAAGCCCTGGATAAAGCAAGACAAGGTCGCACTTGCATTGTGATTGCTCATCGGTTGTCCACTGTCCAGAATGCGGATAAAATTGCAGTGATCCAGAATGGACAGATTGTAGAACAAGGGACACATCAACAGCTCATACAGCAGAAAGGAGTCTACTATTCACTGGTCACTATACAGCTTGGCCACACATGAGTATGGAGGAACGAGATACCAATAATGATGTCTTTTATTTGGCATTCTTATACATTCCAAGCCACTGATGGCCTCAGTGTTTGCCACGCATTTCGCTCAAGAAAGAAAATCGAGGGATACATTGTATGTTGATGGATGTTCAAGATCATTTCAGAAGAGTTAAAACATTCCAAGTCAACCGTTTGTTTCACGGTTATATGGAAACTTCATTAAAGCCATTAGGAGCTTTTCCTTTGTAATTACTTGTTTGTAAATATTTGCATGTATATTTATTAACAAGCGTTTTTCAACATTCAATGTAATTAAATATTCCCAAGAAGCATCGACTCTGTTGATTTTGTAGCTCATATTGGGACAATCAGCTTAATGGAGAATAAACAACATTAAAAACCAACATTAGTGCTAGGTGTCTATAACATACACTTTGCAATTCCATTGCACCCACAGCAAACTTACCAGGAAAGGTTAAAGGAACTTTAACATGTATAGCTTGGAGGAAAGACAAGACAGGGGGGATATGATAGAAACATTTAAATACATAAAGGGAATCCACACAGTAAAGGAGGAGACTATATTTAAAAGAAGAAAAACTACCACAAAAAGAGGACATAGTCTTAAATTAGAGGGGCAAAGGTTTAAAAATAATATCCGGAAGTATTACTTTACTGAGAGGGTAGTCGACACATGGGATAGCCTTCCAGCTGAAGTGGTAGAGGTTATGTTAGGGAGTTTAAGCATGCGTGGGATAGGCATAAGGCTATCCTAGCTATAAGATAAGGCCAGGGACTAGTTAAAGTATTTAGAAAATTGGGCAGACTAGATGGGCCAAATGGTTCTTATCTGCCGTCACATTCTATGTTTCTATGCACAATATGGTTCCATAGGTGTCTATTGCATATATCGCACCAGATCAAGGATAGGCAACCTTTGGCACTCCGGATATTGTGGACTACATCTCCTGTAATGCTCTTGGAGCCATTTTGCTGGCAAAGCATCAAGGGAGATGTAGTTGCTTATATAATGCCTGTTGCCATAAGCCATTATTTGTGACGGTTGCAAAATACTAGCGGCAGCTAACCTCATGCCAAAAGATGTCCTTATTTTGTCTCAAATATCTTTTAATTAAGTTGGGATTTTTAAACTGACTCACAAAGAGTTTTTCATAAAGATTCTATGAAAAGTTCTAAACAGATAGAGCCGGTTTAAGAGAAATTCTCCAGATGACAGTGCATTTCACACAAAATAAAGAACTTATTTGAGGCAAAATGCATCGGGGCTGTGTCTATATTTTGTTCATTACAGTATCTCACAAAAGTGAGTACACTCCTCACATTTTTGTAAATATGTCATATCTTTTCATGTGTCAACACTGAAGAAATGACACTCTGCTACAATGTAAAGTAGTAAGTGTACAGTCTGTATAACAGTGTAAAATTTCTGTCCCCTCAAAATAACTTAACACACAGCCATTAATGTCTATACCATTGGCAACAAAAGTGAGTGCACCTCTAAGTGGAAAAGTGAAAATATGATGGGTAAAAATGAATGTATTTGATGTATTTTAATTGGAAATCGGAAAGTTGGAAAGTTTGGCAATATTGTATTTCATTTGGTATTGGTTACATTGTATTACACAATCAATATATCCCTTAGCATAATGATATATTACATTGAATATTTTTTCTAATCAAATAATAAATTAATAATTACTCTTTTATAATCAATAAATTACTATTTATATCTCCCGCATTTGATGCATTTGGGTGTTACACTATTTCCACCATCATCCCTACTACCACCTATTTCATTGGTCTAAAGCAGGGCACAGCTTCCCTTATGATATCTATGCCATGGCTTCTGATGCTTCTAAACTATGTCAATCTGTGCCTGTATTCTGTAGCATACACTCTGTAGCTCCTGTGAAGGAAAGATGGAGAACCACCAGTATGAGGATTCTCCTGCACTTAACCTGTTAAACACACACACACACACACACACACACGACAGGTGCAGTTTAACAACCTTGATTTCTACAACAGTTTAATCAACCACCTTCATAATTTTCACTAATGTATACATATTTTTAGTACTTAAGTTTTTATTTCACTTTTTACTCCCCAAAGCATAATTCACTGAATATGAAAACAATAATAAACTTATATATAGGTTGGTTTTAGAATATCTAGTTTTGTTATATATATTTTTTCTTTTTCTCTTTAGATGCCCACCTGGAGTTGGTTGTGGTCACACACACACACACATTCAGATTTATTGATTTATTCTGTCAACAGTCTCTAGGAATACGTCCACATAATGCTTTATCAAACAATACATTTAATAAAATGCACACTAATTATGAAAATAAATAGGCATACCAGTGAAGATTCAGTCTATGATCACATGGCTATAGAATATTAAGATATTACAGCAGTATTTACTTCTAGTTTATCATACAACCCATATAAATTTCCAGTATTTTAAGTTACATAATTATGCACTATTTAATTAACTGGTTTTTTTTTTTATTTTTTTTTTTTTATAATGGCTTACAAATTAAAGAACAGATGAAGCTTGTTTTGAAATGTAATTATTTTATTGTTTAAAGTCTTATATAGTTTCTATGACAGGTTAAGAAAAACTGAGTAAAGCCCTTGAAGTACAATGAGAATGATAATATCATTGCTTACAGAACATTCATACCCTTTTATTTTAGGAATTACAGTTAGAATCTGTCCAGTAGATATATAAACCCATTTGCTCTAGTAGTCTGTGCTTTTTAAAGGAAAACAAGCTTCGTCAGTGTAACAGCGAAAATAATTTCTTTCTAACTGTAATATGTCCCACAATTAGATACATTTACATCATATGATCTTGCCAAGCTATAACATAGTGCAAGGTACCAACACAACCTAAAAATCGAAAGAAAAAAAAATTAAATAAAAAAAGTAAAAGAAATCAAGGTATGCTGCCAGGTATAGTCCTTTATGCTGTGCTTCAAGCAGGTCGAAAGTGTTCTATAAAGCAAAGAAAAACAGCTACTGGTGCATGTAGGATATTTAGGGTGCACTAATATTTATTTATTTTTTTACATGAAGAAATGGCACTTTATATACTGCATTAAGCCATAATTTCATGAACACTGCCATTTATATCGAAGCATTGGGCTGTTATATTATTTTGCACACATTTTATTTATTCTAGTTTAAGTCTATTATATTGTTTTTCTAAAATGAGCCAGATCTTCAAATTAAGCAGGCCCACTGGGGCCTCTTTGTTAAGCAGTGGGTTAATAACATATTGATAATATTGAAACCCAAATGGTTTAGCAACTAGACCATTGCAGGGCATATCTGCATAATCATCGAATGATTTCTCACGGGGGCCGTGCTGGATAGCCTATGTTAACTCTTATCCTGTAAATTGCAGCAGAATCAAATTCCGGTCAGTAAAGAAACAAAATACAGTCATTTAAAAGTGTACCTGTCAGGGCACAAACATTGGCATTAAAGTTTATAAAATTTAATTAATACATATAAAACTGGTATTTTGTTTATTCATTTTCATAAAAACCTAAAACAAAAATATATTGTTCTTCCTCTAACCTGTCAATCGACCAACAGAGTAGAGGTCTATTCAAACAAAATAAGAAGAAAATGAGGGAAAAGCTGAAAAACCATTCTACAGGGGAATTCTGTGCTCTCTATCATAGTCATGCTCCTTGAGATAGTTATGTTAGAACACAAGAGGTATCAAGAGGCATCTCTACAGCTCAATGGGACTTCCACTCGACACAGACTGTGAATGGTGAGGGCTCCAGACTTATGACACCTGTTCAATGATTTAGGTACATTCTCATCTATTCAGACCCTGAGCTATGCAGTTTTTGATGGCAATTTTGGAATCAAGTATGTGCATGGATGTTTGTACACTTTGGATGAGTGAGCCACCAGTATCTAAAGCATTGGTAGAAGCTACAATGTAATTCCTGAGATTCCAGACATTGTAAACTGGATTGAGCAGGAGCCCTACACCACGTCATGTTCTATGAAGAAGTCAGACTGGCCTTGTTGAATTTGCTTTTATGTGTTGTCCACTCAATGCACAACGCTGCGGACTATGTTGCGGTTTTATAAATAAGAATATTGATCTCATCACTTTCCATTTCAGGGGAGGGCAGGCGATAGATCACCAGATATTGTAGAACTGCACTTCCATGATTCTTTGCCAATTTAAAAAAGCTGGAGATACAACCAGCCAAGTCCTGATCTATTTGCTAAAAAATGAAATCCTGCTTGTGCATATCTGATGAGAAAAAGAGGACATCTACTGGCAGCATAGAATAATTACATCCACTATTATCAGAGGAGTCCTGCATCATACGGGGACAATGCAAACACAGTTCAACCCTCTGGAATTGCAAGCACTTAAGGCACCTAGTATTTATAACAAGTGCTGCCGTAGTACACTGTGTAGAACAGCCGCTTTAGCATCCTAGTACATTACAAATTCAAAAGATTATGTGGAGTAAAAAGAAACGGAAAACCCCCTATATACAGCGAGCTCACAAACAGAAATCTACATGCAATTCGGCATACCTGTTTTTCCCACATAATGTTAATATTGCTGCTAAGGTTTCTGGGCAGTGTTATGCAAATTAGGCACAAAATTAATTGTAACCTCTGTATCCACTTTAAAGGGTACCAGCCATGCCAGAAATTATTTTATATCTTTCTGTTTGTCTTCCTGTACAACGCAGAAATATTATTATTATTTTTTTTTTTTAACCGTTTCTCCCCCCAACCCCCTCGCACACCCCATATGTCTAACAGTGAGAATCCCCCAGCACACTATTAATAGCGGTGTTTTTTTACATCTCAGTAGGCCTAACATGTGCTTTTACTTCCTGGTCGACTTAAACAGTCACACAGAGAAATCTCCCAGCAGACCGTGTTCTGCCAATAAGCATGACGAATACCAATGCCAATGACAGTGCAGTCTAATACACGGAATTATTGGCTGCTCAGTGGGCAAAGTCTCTTTAGGATTTTAGCAAGTTCCATATGTTTTGTTGCAATTGAGCTGGTACAATGTGACGTTGTGCCATATTATTATAAAGCCCTGCAGAATAAGTTGGCGCTACATAGACGCCAAAAATAATGATGAAACTTGATTCCATTTCATTTAACTGTTTCTTTCTTCTTCCCATGGAAGATGCACTTTTGCTTGACCATATAAGTCTACAACCTAAAGTTTGTATCAATAGCGGTCTAGAAAAGCAACATACACAGGAAGGTCCATGTGTAAAGTGGATAAAGAAGTTATAGGTGATCGATGAAGCAATCATTTACATATGACTACCCAGAACCCCCTAGGTGCAGTGTAAATACTACATACTAAGATCAGGGGAAAAACAAGCATCTCTTGACTTTCCTGGGATGTTCAGTTGTCTTCAGCAATACTCTACACACTGTGCAATTTCTATTATAAGGGACAAGCAGATAACGAAAAACACTCCACTTTAGTTGTATTATAATGAGATCATACCTGCAGTGTAGAATAACATTTCTAGTAAAGTAAGTACTAAATGGCTGTTAGCTACGGCTGAAGAAAAGCAGAAACATTATTAATAAGAACAAAAATTCAAATTCATTTTATCCCCTTCAGCACTCCAATCATTGGCAAATCTGGGTTCCAGTTCCTCAAACTCCTCAATCATCGTCTAAGGATTTCTCAATTATCAGTCACACAGTAATCTAACTCTATATAATTATAGCTTAATTAAAATGTGTTGTATGCGCTTGGATGACATAAGTGAAGTGAGTTTGCATTGTTTTTGCATTGTGTATACTGCATTGATTTAATCACAAATAGTGGCTCTTTTAGATTGCATTGCTACGGCAAAGTACAGATAGAGCAAGCTTCATTGTGTAGATGATGTTGTCATAGCAACCACTGCACTGAAACTGGACCGGTCACCAACTTAACGTTTAGCTTCATAGCATCTTGTGACAAGCAGTTAATATGGTAGCTTTAACGAACATCTAGATCATTTTACTTTATAGTACATAATATCAGTTATCGCATTCTTTGGGATGTTAAACAACAGGTTATCAAGCATGCTGCTCTGTATAATGAAAAAATGGGAAATATAACAGATCCTCACTATTTGCAAAAAGGAAACTAGTACACGGAGATTAAAAAAAATAAAATTAAAAGGTGGGTGGTGAGGGTTCTGATGCAGATCAGAAATTGGGAAGGTGATAGTGCAATAAAACAATGAAGCTGTCTATCAGTTTGTTCGTGTTTGTATTTGTATGCATACCTGGGATCTCTCAATCTAATCTCATTAAGAATAAGCTAATTCTATGTATCACACCAAGTGTTGGATCCTCATAACAAAAGACCAGTCATTGGTTTCACTAAGACCACAGTTGGTTTATCAGAGTGATTGAAGTGGTCATGTTAAAATGAAGGAAGCTCAGTCTATAGAATGAGTGTTAGATATAACATATTCAAGTATCTCAGAGCTTAGACATTCTGAAATGTCCCAGGTATGCTGTGGTGATAAAGGTAGCTTGGATTTGTATAAATTTGTTTTATTAAAAACTGTAAACATATGGCTACTAACCCCTTGAGGTCCCATCACATTCCATACGCCATGATAATCTGGCCATGTAGACCCGATGTCCAGATGGAATTCCTGCTTACTTAATAAATGAATAAGACATTCCATGCCAGCAAAGGGTCTCGAAAAACCAGATTGTTATGACATTATTTTACTTACAAAGCAGTAGCATATTGTACAGTGTCTAAAATAGGTAGATAAACCAAAGCGATTCCTCAACAAGTACATTATATGTGGAAAAAGAAGGAAATTCTGAAACCCTGACTTTCTACAACTGCCCTTTGACTGTCAGTTGGATCATCTCGTGGAAGTTCTTAAACACTGTCCGGCAAAGCTTTTCAGCATCAGTATCTGGGCTGGACTTCCAAGACGTGCAGGCCACCACAAACCTGAAAACAGAAGAAGATTCTGGTACAGTAAATCAGAAATCATACAATGCTAAAATTCAGAAATGTTTCAATTTCCTCTATTTGCTGTAGTGACATCCTAACTGACTGCTAGATTATGAAAATACATCTAATGACCACCTGGAATAGTTTGGAACGCAATGGAAGGTTCCTCTCGCTTTCTCCACTATTAGAACTTTACCCCAGAATTGATCTTTATATATTAAACTCTTACATTTCTAGAACCAAGATAGAGACTACTAAATAGGACACCAAACAAAAAGAATGGGCAAATTGCACACTGTATCACTAAACAATGCTAAAATGATAAAAGGTTTTCAAATTTAAATGCATGCCATTAGAAAAATAAAAGATGAAATAGCGTGCTTAGCATTGCGTATAAAGAAAATGGGATGGTACATTCCCAAAGCCAGAGCTAAACTTTACGTCTGTAATGTGTAAATCACAACCAGGCAGCCAAGTATTGTTGTGGATCCAAATGTTGATCTTTGTTATATTCAGAGGAAACCCAAACTATTATTACAAGTGCACTTGGAGAAGCGAGAATTAGACACCTGTTGGTATTCAAAATAAGCCTCTGCCGTTTTATTCATCAGCTGAGTTTTTATACATTAAAAAGTAAGTGCTTACGTGCAAATACTCTTAGAAAAGTAATAGGAAGGGAGTACAGATAAGACATAGGGATAAACGTCATGTACCACATAACAAATAAGTTTCAAGGTAAGAAAGAACAAAAAGATTAGAGAAGAGACATCTCAGGTGGGGGCTCTCTGCTCCCGGAACTAGACATATATGGTCTTAAGTGTTGTGTTAAGCATCAAGCATTTCCTGAGTCCAAGTTAGCCAATTTTAATATACAATATCATTAGATGACACCTATAAGCTTGAGCCTTGGAATCAAGATAAATTCTATCACAGTATCAAACAAAAAATTTGGTTTATTCCCAGTTCATATGAGAGACTTTTATTCTACATTAACAATGCATGAAGGTCCTTTATACATAACCTAAACAAGCAATCACTCGGAACAAACAGCCATAGAGAGAGACTAAAAACACATATTCGAATAACTGTTGCAATTTTGAGGGATCATACCTGTCATCACGGATTCTGTAGAAGAACCCGTATCCATCATGTATCATGGGAACAACAGCTCCGTGTACACGTGTATAGCCAACACAACTGGTAGAAAGTATGAAATTTCCCCCGCCTCCACTATAAGAAAAATATTAAGAATAATTAATACAATAATATTAATAACGGCTTTCATTAGACTGTGGATTTAAAATCTATTTCTATAACAAGCACTTTTCTAAGCAGCTAGCTGTTTTTTTTTTTTGATTGTTTTTTACCAGGGTTCTGAGATGAGCTTAAAGGGACTCTAAAAGGCACACAGACCACTTCTCAATAAAGTGGTCTGTGTGCAGTGGCCCTGTCTTTCAATGAGTATTGTAAAACATTTCTATTCTGAAGGAATGGGGATATTTACATTGCAGGGTTACATCAAACTCTGTTAGCCACTATAGGCATTTACATTGTAATAACGCAGTTAAACTCAGTTATAGATCACATGCTGCTCCTCAAGCAGAATTTGATTACTGCATTTTGCCGCACTTGCACACTAGCATTCCAATGCTTCCTTATGGGGAAGCTTTGGATTGGTGGAGATCATCAAAAATTCATAGTCTCAGCCAAGGAACATCACCGTGGAGAGCAGCATGGTAAGAGCTAAAATGCAAGTAAATCTCACCTTTCAAACTTTCACACGGGGAGGGGGACATCTAGATAGATAGCAGGCTATTATAGCGTTAGGAATACATATTTATATTCCTAATGCTATAATGTTCCTAGAACTATCGACTTATTTCAAACTAAGGCCATGAGTACTTAACTAAGTGTCAGGAATAGGGGGAATCCTAACACAGAGTGTAAGTAAAGTAGTAACGTACTGGACCTTAGAATGGCCGGATTGATGTTACTGAAAGAAAGAGAATAAACAGGACAAGCCGAGGTCAGGGAAGCCAGAGGTAGGACAAAATGAGAATAACAAGCTGGGTCAAACGGATACCAGAGAGAAGAATAGTCAAGACAAGTCGAAGTTCAAAACCAGAAATATACCAAGAATATAATGCGCTATCGGGACCAAGAGGAACCACAACACATGCTAATATCATAGATACTATTGGCATTATTGCTATTTGTACCACCTGAATACATTTTTTGGGATGATTTTTTGCTCCATCTCAAACAGAAATCTGACTTAAAAAATATACACAGGATCTACCTTAGACCAGGCCCATTTTGGCCGATCTTTTATAAATCCAGTCATGTGCACTGTTTAGTAGACCTGTCACAGTCGGTATAGGAATGATTACGTATATAGTTAGCTTGTAAATAATTTACGTTTCTGTTGCAATCATTTCTTCCTCTTTTTTCCTATTTTTCTATCTAGTCAGATTTAAAGGGAGAGAGGCTTACTATCAATTTTCCTCCTTATATCCCCTTCTTACCAGTCTATGCGAAGACCATCCGTGCTGAGTTAACACACCCTTTGACTCTGTATTAAGCACAGCACTTGACAGACGTATATCTTTCCACATATATTGGTACTATCCTGCCATTACCATCACAACATCAGAAGTAAAACATGCTAGTGTTAGCGATACTATTGGCACGATTACTTTGTATATTAAATTGATACATATACTGTGGTGATCTTTGCTCAAATCTGACTAATATAAATACAGAATCTACCTTACACTGGACCTACTTTTTACCAACAATTAAGCCAGTCATGTATACTGTGTGGTAGACCTGTCTCATCTAATATAGGAATAGCCTCTCCTCACTTATGTGAGAAGATTTTGGCTTATTCTTTTTTCATACATTAGGGGACCCAGTGAGACCCTGGAGTGTCTCACTGGTGTATCACCTCTGTGACTGTGTTAACATTTAAGACACACATTGCTGTTATGCTATTGTATGGGTGTATAGATTAGAGAATACACCCACCAAGTCTTCCAAAAATAAGCCGCTATCTTGGACTTCCTTTCCACAATGCTTCATGAAAATAATGATGAGGTAGTTCTGTTCAACCACCCCACTGAGCTAGTATAATATTGTACCAAACACTCATGACATACTAGTATACACAATTTGGAACTGAATCCTTCTGTCCTTGGTTAATTCTCTGACTACCTGCTTCTCAAACACACTGGAAAACAAACATTCTTAGACACACCAGGAGGAATAAATTCTCAGACAACACAGAAGAAATATATTTTCAAACACACAGGAAGAAAAAGTCAAATTAATGGATGTGGGAGAACGAATACATGGATTTTTAGAGTCTTGGGCATTTGACAGTGTTTGCCAAAAGCCAGCTGACTGGTTGGTACAACATGCGTTGACACAAATTCATGCTCATAGCGTTAACAAAGAACATCAAATGCCAAAATATGTTAAATTATGAAAAATATGAATTTCTATGACCTTTTTGTAAAAGCTGGGTCATTGAAGAGCTCTGGAACAGGCAGACCCCCCTCTTTTGCAAGAAGAAGAAGACCTAAAAGGTGACGGTCAAACCCTAAAAGGTAACGGAAAAAAACCAAAATCAATAAAAGGTGCTTTATGCATTATTTAAAGTAATAATATATGATTTCTGCTGAATACAGAACTTCAGAATCACAGAACTTAGAACTTTAGAAACCCTCTTTCCCAAAAAGCCCCGTGCTACAACCTGTTATTTCTCGTAAATAATTCTTTATCTGTCCCATACCTTTCCCATCCTGGCATTCCTTCATCATCTTATTGTGTTTAGCAAATGCTTTCAGCATTAGATCTAGACGTTGACCAAGCTGCAGAAAGGGAAGAGAACTTGAGAAGCAAGATCTGACAAATAAATGTTGTACAGTAACATCACTTTCCAGACTCCACATTAGCGTGTGCCACAGTAAATCAGAGCAGAAATAAGAGTAACTACCTTCAATATGTCCTAATACCTTCCTGCTTGGTTCTTACTAAGAAGGCAAAATAGAAAGACCAGGCTTGATGGTACCCAGTTCTGTCCCTGTGCCCTCAGCACTTCCTATCACACAGGAGTTGATTGAAATAACTGAACAAGCTGGCAGCTCACTTAAAGGAGCGGGTGCCAAGTTCCTTCTTGTCAACATTTCTGTGGTAGAACATTGCAAATAAAAGCTATAGATCAGAGATTACCAGCAATTGTCGAACTACAACTGCCATGATGCTTTGCCAGCAGGCCAATATACTTACCACCTTAACCAATCTCTCCTTGGCAAGACCATTTCTTCTCACTGGTCCCTATTTTGTTTCAGGAAACCTTTCTATTGTGTTGGAATTCACTAGAATTCCAACAACCTCTGTATACATTTTAAAAAATATATCATTCTAGAATTCTATGGGATCACAGAAAATTACATCAAGTATAAAACTAAATTCCTGATTTACACACAGTTTTGGTGCTCTATTAGTAGACAATGGAGGGGTAACAACAAATATTTACAGTATGCTTAAAAACACACAATACGTACTTGACAAATCATAAAAAAAAAAAATTTAAAAAAAAAGCCAAATAAAAGGCAATAAGATGATAAACTAACTAAAACACACGCTAATAACAATTCAGGCAGGTCCTAGAGTATCTTCTAACAAACCTTGAACTGAATTTATGGATTTTATCTTAGTTGACTGAAGAACTAACACTTCATTCTCCAGCCATAGCCTCTTAGCACGATAACGAGTACAATACGCTCTAGTGGTTACAGTACTTCTTGTTTCTTTTCACAAAACAAATTATCTGGTGAAATGTGCAGCACATGAGTATAAAAGGGAACAAGCCCAAATTTGGCCTTTAAAGAAGGACCTACACGCTCAGCCCTTGTAAAACATACCCAAAAGTATACATACTGCAAGCCTCTTCTGTACACTTACTAAATGAAATATCTAACTTTAACATAAAAAATAAATTCAATTAAAAACTAAAATATATATTATATAGAATAGAGATTAAGCTGATTTGGAAAGCAAGTGATTGATCATTTGTATCTCTGTATATGGCTTACTGTAAGTTTATGACATAGAATGGTTGAAACAATCAGTTGATGGCTGTAGGACATAGATTCTCACATATAATATTATGATTCTCACTACACAATATCAGAAAAACTTGATTGACATTTCATTAGGTCCAGAACTCTACACAAATGCTAACTAAACCATTCCATTAGCAGATATTAGCAGAAACCCAATAATTGTGTGAGTCACTGAGCCATGTTGTGACTTACAGTGGCATTTGGGTCTACCATGGAGCGACACCATTCCATGGCTTCCTCGGTGCACGGCCTCATAGTCTCTGTACGGGCATGATAGTAAACCCGTGTAGACGCGGTTTCATAACAGCTACCGGGGCTAAAGTTAAAAAAAAAAAAAAAGGGCAACTGGTAGTTTAATTTGAAGGAGAGGAGATTGAAAGTATTCATAATTACATGGGGTAAGCATATTTTGATGAGGTGGCAGAGAAGGAAATATCAACATAATCAAATTTATAGTTTAATGAAGGGATTGAAAATATATACCGAATCATTCTTTTTAGTGTGAAATGGTCAGAAAGTCTTGTCTACAGCTGGTTCATGTTAAGTCACACTATGGAAAAGTGCTCTGTGTTAAGAAGGCACTTAAATATTATAGAAATGTCAAACTTGACAGCTGCTACCACACCTAGATGGAAATGTCTTAATCCAGCAAAACTAGAAAATAGTAAAAACAAATGGCTAGAATGTGCGACCGCCTACTTCTCACGTAGGCTTTTTCAAGCAGAGGTATTCCTTCATAGCCCACCTCCCTAGGAAGGAGTACTAGGAAGGATTGGAAAAGCCCAAGGACTGGGAAAAACGCGTCTTGGAGAAGTAGAAATGCTTTTTTGACAATTATTTTAATTTGTTTTTATGTGTTATATATTTCTGTTTAGATAAAATTTATTATTGGATTCTCAAGTCCTACCGGCTAATAATTCCATCTACCTCTAATCAAGGTGAGCAGTATTTGTTGTGTGATATTCTTTACCCGGAATTTCCCTCTTTGTGCTTATTTCCGAGTCCATCTGTAGAGGAAAAGAAGAGGGAGGGTGTCACCTAAACACCAAGCCAATTGTGATTGGAGCCAGTCCCTCCTTGTGATTTTTACTATTTATTTTTCGCATATTTCCCTTATTTTTGGACATACACTATGTTAATTTCTCTTCGCCATCTAGCACAGAAATAATATTTTTTTATCTCAGTGCTTTAATAGGGGTAAGTGATATCAATATCATTAGTTATATACTTTTAGCGCTACACTGAAGGGTAAAGTAGGGGGGTTGCACCTTCTAGCCCTTTGTTTTTACTATTAAGGCACATTATGTTTATTAAAAGTAGGTGGGTTTTTTCAGCAAATGTTCCATCCAGCACATTACATGCAGTCATTAACCAACAAATGATTATATCAAATGGCATATGTGATTTGAGTTAAATAATATTACAAATGGGAAAAAAAGAAGAACAAACAAAAAGGACAGCCAGTAAGAGAAAGGGAGATGATGGACAAAAAAACCACACTAAAGATGGACTGAAGGTCAGAGAGAATGGTAATAGGGCTACCAACAGGGAGAGGAGAACATTCTGCCTCGGTACATGAGCTACAGAAGTAAAGATCCCATATATTATATATATATATTAATTAATGTATCTGAAGGGAAGCCATCACCAATCCTGGGTTCCATTTGAAGAGAACGTGAACCTAAACTCATAAGGAATAACTGAAAGTACCAAAGCTTACCGGCCATAAAGCTTGAAATAGGCCAGCTGAAGAGAAAGCTGGATAAAGGTATCTGGGTGAAGTTTCTTCTTCTTAACGAGGTTCTTTCCAAAATCTGTAAATGCGTAGTTAGCTACCTGCAAATCAGAACCCTAAGAAAAAAAATTATACATGCAACATTGTTATGGTCAATTTCTAATAGGTTGTAAGGAGGATAAACAGTAAATATAGGGCACTTCTCGATTCTAACTTTGGATCCTTAATATGACAAACACACAGATTCTGGTGTAATATTTGTAGCCAGACATGGTTTCTAGGGTCATCACTCCAAGTAAATTTGTGACATGTATTATTCTTTATAAAAATGAAATATGGAAACATCTCCTTGGTGGCTACAGCAAAACTTCTATCAGTCCCAGATCCCTACAAGCGTGGAGAAGGCAAAACCAAGGAGGAATAGATTCTTAACCTTGTCAAAAAAAAAAAAATCTACAATGTATATATTTCTAAACTCTAATCAAGGCATCCAGGAGGGAAAAAATTGGAATCAGTCTAAAATTCTTAATCATCAGATTTGTCATTAACACTTCTGACATTAAGTTCAAATGCTATCAATGTTTAGTATGCTAGATATTTAACTGTGGTCTGGAGAAATGCTTGAAAGTATTATCTATAACTCACATAAGTTGTCCTTAGAATATTCTAAACTACATTGAATTTAGGAGTTTAATATGTTTAACCCACAATCTAAAATGTAATGTTTTCTGTTCCATTGATTTCCATATTGAAAAATCGAAGGGAATGTGTTGGTCTGAGGATTTGTTTGGATCCTGACCACTTCGATCAGTTGAAACTGAAGTAACAAAGAACAGAAGAAAAATAAAAATCCTAACAAAAAATAATGAGTCCATACCTGTTCCAAATACTGAGCTTTAGCAAGAGCAATGTCCCGCAGTACTTTTTCATCCACGGTGAAAGTAACTTCTTCGGGATGGGAGAGATCTCTAACAGCAGTGGAACCCTGCCAAAAAAGTATTGCATCAGTTTAGTTAAATTTAAAGAGCAAATAAAGTGCATCCTTTGTAGTAACAATTCAATAGAAACATACCTTCCAGCGACCATGACACGCGATGATGTTTTGATCAATGTAATCACACATTGATACCAGTACCATGGCATCGTATGGTGCGTGCTGAAAGATTGAAGATAAGTGTCTACAGTCAGATTGAGATTCATAATGAAGGCAGAGTGCATTAGTAAGTTTAATATTTTTACATAGCTGAATGGATAATGTGTTTTAATAACATTTCTGTATTGCTGTAAGGGTAGATTGCTTCTTCTCAAAATATTTTTTTACCTAATTATGGCAGCATCACTTCTGGGTTAGCCTCTAGCTGTCAGGACAGAAATATGTATATGCGAAGACTACCTTCTTGTCTTCCCAGTACTTTTTAACATAAGATACATTTTATTTTAGTCTTTATTACCAGGTCTATCATGATCTTTCTGGGGACAGTACAGTCTCTTTCTCCCAAAGAAACCAGTAAAGAGCCTGCCTGGGCAGAGCTATGTGGTACAGATTCTCCGTTGGGTAGAGAAGCACATTGTGGGATTTTGTATTTTGTTATGGCATGCAGTCATATAACCGAGCAACAACATCAACAAGAACCTTTTTAGAAAGATGTTCTCAATTCCACCATCAAAAATAGACCTGGCCAGGTTCATTTGGTGATGAAATAAAGAATGTCTTTCTAAAAAGATTTTTGTTGGGGTTTAGTTAAATGCTGTGATTTGATATGTGAGAGAAGACTCTGATGATTGCACCCCACACATTCTTGGTGAAGTGAAGCACATGTTACTAGCCTCCTTATTTTTGTTCTTTGTCCTGGTATGCAGAATGCAGTGTTGGTGATGTCCAAGATTACTTAAAGACTTGCCTGGTAAGTCTGTGGCATGGTAGAAGCTGTCATAGCCAAGTGACCATCAGGTTTTCTTACCGATTGAGATTTATAGTGTGGCGCAGTCCAAGATGCTTACCTGAACATCGTAATTACTTTTAGGGCTTTTAAATTATCCCTGTGATCTGAGCATGTTCCTAGGACTGCCATAGAATATGTCATCCAATATGGTTGACCTGGGAATATTGAGATATTCTTGACTCCATGAGATCTGCCTTTTGTTCTCAAGGCATTAACAGAGGAGCCATTAGAGTCTAGATCAGAATCTCTACTTTAACATTAAGTTCTCTTTTTTTTCTTCAAATGACGCACTTTATCTTTAATTGTTTTTAATATCTGGTTCCTGGGGAAGTCCCTAAGGAAAGTAAACGTGTAGGACAGTGTTTCTGTTTATCCGTTTTAAAATAAAAGGTTATTTTTTTTTAATCAAAATCCGGCTGGATTCCCTGGTTTGTCCCAAGCCTTTCAGAAGGTAGGTTGGAGACATCAATAAAGCAACTAGCTCCCCATTATTGGCACCATCATGTGGATTCACATTTTCTATCTAGTGAGTGCAATGTTATATGTATAAACTGTATTACACTATGTTATGTCTATTTGTATAATAGGAACACTGTATCCCTGTGTATGGTGTACATTTGTATCTAACCTGCTGGGAGCTTCCTTTTGTGAAAGCTGACACCAAGCTCCCCACACCTATTGAATGTTTTTGTGGTCGGAATCCACTTATCTTTCAGCACAAACTGGCTATCAGAGGACATTCAGGGCTCTCAATGTGCATATGTGGATAATGATGTAGAGTTTTACATGATAATGTCACAAAAACATACATCTTGTAAACTGTGATTTATTTTTTCACAGTTTTGTAGATGAATTTTAAAATATTAGGCATCTACATTTCTGCTTAGTGCCAAAGTTTTGCCTAAAGTCTACATTATCTACATTGTGCTCCAATGTTAAACATTGCAATTCCATAGAAACTGCAATGTTTACATTGCAGTTCTAAGTCTGCCCACAGTGACTGTCTACCAGACAGCCACTAGAGAGGTTCCTGAATCGAAACGGATGCTAGACGTCCGCACGATCTGCATAAGGACCATCAGCGTCAGATTTTTTGGTTATAGGAAAGCATTGATTCCTATGGGGGAGGCCGCTCACGCGCATTAACGCCTGCTCGTTGCTGGCCATCAGAGGGGTTGGAGCCAGAACCCAGGAAAAGTTGAGTAAATAAAGGGTTTTTAATCAGGTACATTTCATATTCATCTGGTCAGTTCTGCAGATCTGATATTAATCCTGATCATTTTAAACATATTTAAGCTATTGTCAGCCATTATACAACCCTTGGAATGCTGATTTGGCACATTTTACAAAGCCTTTTTTTTTAGTACAATATTTTATATAGTTTTACATTTTTTATAACAAAACAAAGCCAAATGTTGACAGGACATTGGTGAAGTGAGATCAAGAAATATTGTCTACTTACATCACAGTTGGATCCAAACACCCCATTTTGCCACATAATGAAGTTGTACGACTTGTCTCCCCAACGTACAGTTGGATCCCCAGTAAGCGCCAGTTTTGTAATCTAAATTCAAAAAGAAAGATTTAATGTTCCTAGTAATATTTATCTTGATCTAACCTGCAAGTTAAAGGGACAGGTTTTCTTCTGCAACAACTGTCACATTCAAATGCTTTGCCTTAAATGAGAATTTGAACCGCTGGTACAGTGTTTCTAACCTCGCTGACCTCAACCTTCCAAGTTACCTGGCTATAATCATCTGCTGTTCCCAGAGGACTCGAATCATCAATAGACACAACAAACAAGCTGCTCTGAATTTTTTCCAGACTGGATGCATTCTTTGGATCAAGGTTCAGAAGATGTTCACGAGCCTGAAATGGTAACGAATTAAATAATAGTTTTCTATGACATTATATAGCATGATTTTTTTTTTTTGTGGCACACACACATTCCCTTCAAATCTAATTTTTTTTGGAGAAGAATATATGTTTTAAGGTAAAAGTAAATTATACAAAAATAAATAAAAATATATTGCCACATATGATCACAGTGTGGTCCCAAGAAAATTGAAAAGAATAGGCATAAAAAGACAACTGAATTAGAAATAGGGCACTCAAATCTAGAGACACATATATATTATATTTATTTCCCTTTCCTTCCACAATCTATAAGTATGAGCCATAGCATCGGATTGTCATCTCTAGCACTCTTACTCAGTCAACCCAGAAAAGATTTGAAGTGTGGAAGAGAAATAATTATTGAAGTTGATACATCAATGAACAACCATTTTGGTGTTCCATTTGAAACCCTGAACGAACTGTGCAGCCTTCTAAAATGAGAACAGGCTAAGAGCAACCAAACATCCTCTATCCTTTGACCGAAGGGCTACACTAGAGGATAGCCTGTCTCTTTTTCCAGACTAGACAAAGTGGAGCATATGTTTTTGTAAAGACATTCATATTAAATTGCCACCAAAGTGTCCTAAAGAGAGGTTTGTTTTTTTTGAAGCAACATCATCTTCACTGAATGAACCCAGCCTATCAGTGAAATGCTGTAAGGTGTCCAGCTCTTCAGAAGTTCATGAAGAAGTGTTTTTTTTATTTTTTTGTTATTTTTAAATAGCGGGGTATAATTATTGACATATTGATCTCTAGAGTGTTGCTTCAAAAGTCAAAATAATGTGACAAGCTTACAAACTCATCATCAAGATCCATGGAGATATCAAGACCTATATATTTTTGCTGCTTGGTTTATGGTGCACAATCCTGGAATAAATGGAGATGTGATAAACTTACAAACTCACCAGGACGATGGATACATTGAAACCTATGCATTTCAGCTCCATTAGTTTGTAGCCCCAAATCCTGGAATAAATTGATACTTATCTTATACTAGGTAGAGACATTTTTTGGCTGAGTAACTGATTGCAAGATGGCATCTAAGAAAAGTTTGATATTATATTCAGAGAGTTCGTGTTCATTTCCCCTCACACTTAAATCATTTCTAACAACATCAGTGACTTAATATATAAAGCAAATAGACGGGGCAATAAAGGGCAACCTTGTCTTGTTCAAATTGCTATTCACACCTCTCTGGACCCCAATTGTTAAAGCCTTTGCAGTAGGGGAAGCGTATTGGGTCTGATCGCAGATATGAACTTAATTGGTAGTACGAACTCTTCCAAGATCCTCCGCAAAAACTTTCAATCTACTAGGTGCTATAAAGCTTTTATAGTGTCCAGGCTCAGAAGAGAACAAGAGAATGAATGTTCATTCATCAGAGGTTGACATTATTACCTTGATGAGGGCTTGTTGAATGACCAGGAAATGTATGCAAATGTAGATAGAGACATTAACCTTTACTTTGAAATACTCTTTTCCAACTAAATGTAATATATCAACCAATGTGTCTGTTTTATTCCTTTATTAAAGAAATACTGGTCTACGCTCCTGAATTAGTTTCTCGCAACATCATTTATAATTCTAATATTTTCCGAAAATTTTAAAGGAATCCTATAACATTAGTAATATAAATATGTAAAAATGTAGTTTACTTACCTTTCAGTCCTCACTGCACTGGTCTCCTCTGTGAAGTTTAGCCTCTTCTGCTAAAATCATCAGTGTTGATGATCTCAGCCAATCCAATGCTTTTCCATAGGAAAGCATTGTGAGGTTAGTGCACATGCACGGCTAAACTCCACGCTAGGCCAATTAGATGGTCTCTCTGATACAATCTGATAGAAATAGAGTTTTACTGTGCTATTTCACAGAAGCGCCTATCAAAGAGATTAAAATATCTTCCAATCAAAAGGAGTCAAGGAGACCTAGTCTCAAGAAGGGAAATCATTGGTTCCATTCACGAGGCACATAAACATTTAAGAATTGCATATTAGCACCATTCAGTACAACATCCAGAAGGACAAATCTCCCTTCTTTGACATGGATGGAAGTTACTTCCAACCTTATAGACCAACTCATAACTGAAACACCCAGGCGCTATGTAGATAAGCAAGCATGGTAGGCCTTCTGGTTTTACACCACACCTCCTATAGAATGTAATCTCGATTGAGCAGGGCCCTCTTCAACCTATCGTTCCCGTAAGTTTTTGTAATCCTATTTATAGTTAAATCCCCCCTCTCATAATATTGTAAAGCACTACGGAATCTGTTGGCGCTATACAAATGGCAATAATAATAATAATAATAATAACCCAATATGTAAGCATATAGCCTTCACAAAAATAAGTCTCCTGTAGAAACAGTAGGTTGGCTCCCAGGTAAGCATAATGGTCTATAGCCATAGACCTATAGTCGATATTTTATATCAATGTGCGAATAGCCAAACAATAATAAACAAAATGTAAAAAAACAAAAACATTACATTTTTGTATTTCCAACAAATAGTTACTAACCAAAGCCCAGCGTGTTCTCTCTTCTGTGGTTAAGGAAGACAATCCAATTCCATTAGGTTCATTTTGGCATATATTCTGAATATACGTAAGCTGCCTAAAAGAAAGAAGAAAAAAAGAAAGTAAATGGAGACCTCTGAAAATAAAGTCAAAGTCCCATCAGTGTATGGCTACCTGCAAAAGTATGTGATGTTCTTTTAGACAAGGCTGTCATAATTCAGCTCTTCAGCTGTTTGATTTTACTTCAATTAAAGGGATATTCCAGGTAGCTAAACAAGTTAAGCTTAAAGTAAAGCTAATAAGCTCAAAATACCTGTGGTTAGTTTCTTTTCTTTCAATTCTGTGTAGTTTTCCTGCAGTGCTGTAAAATGTTTTGCCGTTTTCCAGCAGTGTAAACCAACCTCCTTAGCCACCCCCCCCCTTACATTTCAACATCTTCCTGATTTCCAGTCTCTGAAAAAAACGTATCTCCTTCAGCCAATGAAAATAGAGGCGTGTCTTATCTAGTGTAAGGAATGCTCACAGCACAGACTGCACCACAGAGACAAGGCTATAATGCTTATGTGCTCCTCTCCCTCCCTCTCTCCCAGTAATGCAAGTAATACATTCTCCTCCAGTCCCTGTCAGTCAACCTTCCTACCCACTGTTAACCCCTTCCTTGCCAATTCCTGTCAGTCAACCTTCCTACCCACTGTTAACCCCTTCCTTGCCAACCCCTGTCCGTCAACCTCCCTACTCACTGTTTACCCTTCCAACCCATGTTAATCAACCTCGACAGATAGACAGACAGATCACAAATGAGTTTGTCTGTCTCTTCATATTTATAATAAACATATGACACTATATGATACCTAATGTGGTAAGGGAATGTTAGTGTGTGTGATGTGTTATGTAAGTTCTAGTGTTTGAATGATGTATTTGTAGTGTAACTTAGGTTGAGTACTTCTTGGACAGGCATTGTGGGTGTGTCATTACACATTCTCATAGAGCAGGCCTCCCCAAACTTCGGCCCCCCAGATGTTGCCAAACTACAACTCCCATGATTCCTAGCCTATCTATTTAATTCATAGAATCATGGGAGTTGTAGTTCAGCAACATATGGAGGGCCAGAGTTTGGGGAAGCCTGACAGAGAATCACTGAAGCATGGCCATTGGTGGCCAGTCTGGCTGAAATACAGGAAGCAGGGAGATAGCAAAGGGGGAAATGACATGCAATCAGAGGAGGAGTAGAATATCTGATCAAAGTAAAGATTAAAACATGTACTTCTAAAGCTAATTTTCACGCTATTTAGGGAAAAAAGCATTTAGTGACAGTAAGTTTATGGTCGGGGGGAAACGAGGATATGCAAGTTTTTACCTATACTATTCCTTTAATTCCCAAAATTATGTAATTTACTGTTCAACAACAGCTGGGAGGCCAAAGTTTAACATTATCCTTATGAGTAGTAGGAGGTCTCCACAATTTTACTATTCCAAGCCATATATGTTCAGCATAAGTGTTTATAGACCTTAGCAGCTCAGGAGGCGTAAGGATCTGGCCTTCGTGCACTGCTTCAAAAGTGAATATTCTTCCTCTGCTCATTACGGTCAGGTGAGATGGACATCTACCTTCACTCTCTGAAATGAAAAGAACAAGAAATGTAATCAAGTCAGACCTCCATAAATCATTACACTGATCCTAAACAGAAACTGGCTTTAAGTCATTTTTGAAGTGGAGAAGGCAACATATTACTACACTGTGAACATAAAATACATTGCAAACAGGCCAGAGCAGTGTTTAAAGGGATACTGTAGTGCCAGGAATACAAATCTGTATTCCTGGTACTACCGCTCCCCCTGCCTCAACCCTCCCTTGTCCCTCCCCCCAGTAAATAAAGGGTTTGAATCAATGCTTCCCTATAGGGAAAAATCTGACGCTGGTGGTCCTCATGCAGAGCGTGAGGACGTCCAGCATCAGATAACGGACCAAAAGTCATTTTAGATTCAGGAAGCCCTCTAGTGGCTGTCTGGTAGACAGCCACTGAGGGCAGACTTAGAGCTGCAATGTAAACATTGCACTTCTCTGGAACTGTAATGTGTTACATTGCAGCACTAAGTGCAAAAGGGACACAGAACCCAGACCACTTCAATTAGCTGAAGTGGTGTGGGTGCCTACAGTGTCCCTTTAAGCACATGAATGTTGTAACTTTATAAAAATAAAAAAATTTAAAAAAAAAATCAATATATTGAATTAATTTGGCATGTGAAAAGCTATACTTACCCTTGCCAAATACATGCAGGTTTCAAAACCAGGGATATAGCAATATGAATTGTTAGCCTTGTTAGAATATTAGTTGCTGCTATCACCCCACTAAATTGTAAATTGTCAGGAATTCAACATGGATTTCAAATTTTTCACTCAGGGTTATTCACAAAAGTGTGAATCAACGTGAATTTTACATTTAAGGTGAAAATAGCCGTACTGGAATAAAGTCAGATTAGATATACTTTCCATTCAGTTCCCCTGGCCTGAAATGTACTTTGTATTCTCACGTTAGGAGATAACCCTGCCCAACAGTCAAATTGGTCAAATTTTCCAATTATAGTTCTTCAACTACTTGTCCTAAAATTTGAAATTAACTTTGAATTTTCACTATACCGAATAACCCCATATGTTTATTTCCTTTCTGGATTACTCATCCTCCTGCCCCTGAAACATGTTTATTTCAAACAGTGAGGCTTTAGTGAACAGAAAGCAGTTTCCCCTTAGAAATCAATGGAACATGCTCTAACATTACTGCTGTGACTGCTTTCACTGATGCGAACAAAATCAGTTGAAACTGCTCATAAATGAAATTGTATAGTGGAACCATTGCACATGGTGATCAGGGATTTCTCTAAGATCACAGGGAATAGACCTAAAATCCTGATATTATCAAGAAGCTGACAAAAGTGGCTTGATAGCGACTCAGAACGAAATAGACTATCATGAAGAGGTTATATGACAATTAAGTGGCATTTTAATCATAAGATTCTTAAAGTGATCCTACTACACGTTTCTAGGATTCCTAGAACTATATTTGACAAAGCATTGTCTGACAAAGTGATATCACAACATTCCTTCTCACGTAATAAATTCCCAGTGACACAAGTCTTTTATAGTTTCCCTATAAAAACGCGACTTGTGAAAAAAAAGAGGGCATGCACCCCACAGATACACAATGGTTACAATCTCTCAATGGATTGACCTCATGCTATTCCCACATTGAAGCTCATACAACATTGGCCTACCACTGGTATGCAACCACCAGCCACCTATACATAATTTACCCAAATGTACAACCAGACTGAGATGCGGTAATAATGAGGGAAACATGTTACATATATGGTGGGAATGCCTGGGGATAAAATCCCTGTGGGAGGAGATAACGACAGTGCTTACTGTTTTTAAGATTACAGAACTACCACTAACCTCAACTATAGGCCTGTTTTTCCGGTTTCCCACCACATGGTCGATAATATCTAAGAAAGTTGCAGCAATAGTAATTCTAGCGGTTAGAAACGTAATAAAATTGTGCTGGAAGAAACCATTTTGCCCCCCACAAGCAAATAGCACGATAAAATAAACCAAAACTCTCTCTATGAGAAATTGACTGCCGAATCACATAAAGCTGTCAAAAACTTGGAAGATAGACATCATCGAACAGACAATGTAATACTATGGAACAGTTTCTGAGGCAACACAATGGGACACGCACAAACGGTGTGACAGGACAAATCGCACTACAACAAACTACAATTGCCACATAGGGACTCAAAAACAAAAAAACACTTATAAAACAACAACAATTACTAGAAACAAAGCCCTCAACTACTTACAATTATTTTATTCCACCCACTAAAGCAATCACCATATCAAAACATAGTGTTATCTGCAAATGTAACCCCTGTTATGAAACTATACACTCCTAGACACAAACTGGTGTGGATTACTACTCAATTGCTACCAACAGTCCCCCAATCCCTATAGGTCTTTAGAGGTATGAGCCCCCTAGTGTGCAAGATGTTCCCCTACACACTCTAAAGGGAGCTTATTCACCAACTTGGAACATGAAAGGACCTCTACTAAGTTAAAACTCTGAGACAACGTACGTATACTGGGATTCTAACCATCATTTACACTGATACCACTGAAAATGCATTAACATAACTTATCTTGACTGTCTATAACGACTTACTATATGAAAATCCTGTTGTTAACTGATGCTTATAACACTATCCATGTTGTGCTCCCTTCCCCCTTTTTGTTCTGTATCCCATTGCAGATTTAAAATATTTTCAATAAAATACAAAATTAAAGAAAAAAAAATTCAATTCATCTTCTTGGACTTCCGATTGCAACAGGACCAGACTAACATTTTCAGCCCTTAACCATCTTTGGTTTACTTCAGCTATTGGCGAGTTCGGGCAGATCATACGTTCATCATACTAAGAACAGTAACTCAAATCAAGGACCTAGACATTGATGCCCCTGACTTTCTGGTCACTTCGGATGTGGTGAATTTAGATGGAAGATGGAATCTATGTAGTCCACACTGCACATGCACAAAATAAACAAAATTGCTACAGGCAGTTCAAAAGATTGACAGCTGTGAGGAGTAGTCTAATAGCAACAGTAGCAAGTCTCTACACTTATAAGCCACTTTTTGAGCTGAAAGTGGGTGCATGATTCTCTCTGTACCATAAACTTTGCAATAATGCACGGTTGTTATGGTGCTTAAAGTAAGAATTTAAGTGCAAAGCTAATGCATCTGGAAAAATATTTTTGTGAGGCCATCACAAATTACATTTGTTTTTCGTTTCAAAACGCGTCAGTGTTAGCAGGACAGAGAATTTCCCCAAAGGCCCTTTCTTACCAGTTTTAAAATAATTGACAATAGAATCTCTAGTGACACCTGGAATCTTGCAAGTATTGAACAAGTAGTGGAACTGGTGCATATCAAGAGGAGTGCTCTTTGCCTTCTGTACCTCTAGCTTCTCTCTGTAATAGAAAAGAGTTTACATCTAGTAAATGGATCTGTGATCTGGTTTCTGCAAATACTATTTGGATTGGCACTGAAGAAAAAAAAAAAAAAAAAGAAAGAGAAATAAAAACAGGACAAGAGCTAGTTAGTCATATAAATCTTTAGAAAATTAACAGAAAAGCAGAATTAACCCTCTAAAAGCTTCATAGATAGCAACCTGACAGTCAAGGCTGTTCATTGTTTATAAAACAAATTGTATTGAAATAAATCTACCAACTAAAACAAATATGACAAAAATATCAAATAAGATCCACGTGTAGAGTGTACAAAAACAGACATAAAATCATGAAACACAGATGGACAATAAATAGTTTACAGGGAATACAAATACATATTAACTAAATAGCAACCATCTCTGTTCAATGTGTCCATCGCCAAAGTTACATATTGTAGCTTACTACTAGTGATATAGGTTAGATATAATCATCCAGAGCAGAACATGTAGTAACAGGACAGGTTCAAGAAAAATAATGTGTATACATATAAGTGTGCAGATCAAAAAGATATGTGTACTCACGCTTCCTAACTACAGCGCAATAATAGAAGTCAAGAACATTACAGCCTCAGCCGGAACAGTGTTTGTTCATGACTTTAGAAGTTTTTGTACACTCTACACGTGAATCTTCTGATATTTTTGTCATTACTTTTAGTTGTTCTATTTATATCAATACAAGTTACGTTTTATACTATACACTCTGTTTGGATTGGAGTTTATGAATATAAGTTTGCCGTGAATCAAAAATCTGTCATGACAAAGTCCCACGGAACGAAACACGTAGACGTTTGTACGCTAAAGGCAACCTTATTCCTGTGAAGACATCTGCCAAGCTGTTAACGTTCTAGCAGACCGCTTGTTTAATTGTGCATCTTTTGGATTTTATTAGAGATCCTTTACAAGTACCTTTGCGATACTGATAATTTACAGGACTCATATATGGTAACTTTTAGTGTCCATTGGTGACTTTGGTGGTCTGCTACTTGCTTTAATGTTACCATTTAGTTCTTGTTTTGTTATTTTGACAATAAATTTTATAGACCTGTTACCGCATGACCTATCTCAGTATTTTGTAACTCACTGCTTTTTCTCTTTAGTAGGTTTTTAGCTTTTTTCTTCTTTTCATATTTTATTTGTGGCTTTTATTATTAATTTTTGAGAGGAATCTTTCTATTATCATTTAGTTTTGTTTTGTTTTTTTATTTCTGCAAAAACAAAAACTGAATTTACCATAAAAATATGCAAAAACAAAAAAAACAAAAAAAAATAACTCAGCCACAGGTATCTCTGAGCGAGCAGAGTTATTATAAACCAGATAGTCTGTATTAGAAGAAGAGGTCAATCAGACAGACACAAAGAAAGTATAGCACTGTATGTCTGTTCTGTCTGCCTGCAGTCTGGTTGAGGACTGAACAAGGCTTCTCATTGTATATTACAAGTGAGAGGAGAAATGCAGTTAAATAAATAGTCTAAACATTACATTCAAAGGGTGGTTTATTACATGGATCAGACTGTAAGTAAACCCTAGATGTACTAATGCTTGTCCTGCTTATTGTGGGAGTGTGCTGAGCACATGTAATTCTGTCATTGTCTGAGCTAGAAGCAGAAGTGAAAGGATTACTCCAACTTTTGAAGTGGTCATGGAGGAAGGAATCTGGCTGCGGAATGTTTCAACTTGATCACTGCACATCCAGAGTTATTTGCACTTGTTCCCTGGGGGCTACTTACATCCCCGGCAGGCATTACTTTGGCAGCCCAAAATTCTGTTCCAGAATGCCAATTTCAATTCTGTGCATATTTTAGGTCTGTTGTAAGCGCGCACTGCATGCTTGTAACGGGTGTAATCTGCTTCTCCCCTTTCAGGCTCTTCCCTCCCTCCTTCCCTGCATTCCTCCTGCCTCCCTATACTCCGCATTCAATTTTTTAGGTTGTCTCCCCTCCCTCGCCCCTTGTTGGCTCAGAGAGCAGGCTAAACTGTGCAGTCATTGAGCAGAAGCATAGAGAAGTCTTTGACTGAACCAAGTGACGGAAGGTGCAACATCAGGAAAGGGGTGTGGAAAGCAGCCCAAGACCTTCGCCCCAGCAGGGAGGGTTGAAGTAACCCTTAAAGCTATGACAATAAATTACTGATGAAAATGTATTGACATTTTAAAAAAAAAATAAAAAAAAAAATAAACTTTATGAAGGTATTTAGAAAATCTTTATGGCAGGGTGGAGGACATCAGACAAATTGAAGAACCGATTCTACCTGCAACCGGCCGCTCACAATCTTACTATGACACCTGGTACCACTGGCTCAACTGGTTGTCTTCCGCTACCAGCACCGGAAACCCATAAACAGAGGTGAAGAACAGAGGGCTACCTGGACCGGCCGATGGCTGAAATGGGTCCCCCAACAACCCAGCACCGCAATAGCATCACAGACCCAGAGTTACTATACCTGGAGCTTTGCCTGATGGAAAGGACACTGCCCGACTAGAGGCCAAGGAGTGTGGCGGCTGACCTGGGGGAGGGGGTACGGGCTGGGATAGGAGGTCTGACCTCCGCTCTTCCCCCCTTGCCTTACACCTTCTCCTTCTTGACTTATACCTTACATGCCTCTTTCTCCACCCCTGTACTTACCCCCTCTTTGAACCTGTTTTCCCCCCTCTCCCCTTTTCTCCTCACCTTCACCACTCTCTCTTTCTTAGAGGACCTATATGTCCTACCTTCTGTTAAGACCTGCAGTGGTTATGGTACTGCGGTCTTCTATTCCTTTCCCAATAGCTGAGCATAAGTGATAACTGCAGTTAGGAGGTAGAGGAATAGTGTAGATGAATGCAGCTTCCAAGACGATTCTCCCCAGCAAGTAGACTATTCCCCAAGCATGAGCCTAGACTTCATGAAGGGTGTAGCATGAATGATTTTTATTGAGGCCACACTGGCTTTTATGAGAAGCCTCCTGCAAGAGGACCTCCCACAGTAAACAAAGACAATAACCAATCAACATACAGATTTACAGTAACCTCCCTCTCTCTGCCTGGGAGATACTGAGATAAATTAAGGAATAACTCAATAACTGATAGCTGATCTGGGGGCCCAACATATCCAAATTTCACCCAGATCGGTTCAGGGGTTCTCAAAAAGTATGGAAGTCATAAGTTACCGACCACACACGAGGCTCCTGCCCAAAACAGTTCCACGAAATCAGCGTGTGCGGTCGGTCAATTCAGTAAATGGCATAAAACGAATAAAAAAGTCCCGAATGGATCCTCCTGGCTGTTCATATGCACCAAACTACCAAATGGCGCACTCCTGGCTGTTCAGCAACTAAAGGAAGCAGGCGTTCGGTAGTTTCAGCGGTGGTTCGTGAGGTTGACTGTCCGATTTTAGTTCCAGTCTCCAATAGCAACATAATTGTCCGTCAGGATACTTTCCATACCTCTCCATGAACGAAACACAGACCTAGGGACACGGTAACCAGCTAGGTCTCCTTACACAACCTTATGCTGCCCCATGGGTGCAACGCACCACTGGCACAAACGCCGGCCTTAAGCTGTGCAATACCACACCCAACCTATATGCCCCTTGGGCGCCCAGACCTCACTTTAACTTATTAATTTGACTTCTTAACATTGTCTTGTAGGTTTGGCAACAACAAGCCTAGAGTTACTCTGTTAGATGTTACCGATATACTGCAATGCGGTACTCTCTATATGGTTGTCTCTCTTCGATGATGATGTAATCTCTCTTTTAACGTACAACCCTTTGGTTATATTGCTTTCCGATAACTATGTATTCTCAGTTAGACTGCATCCTTTTCATTGTATGTACTTCTCAATTTAATACATTTTGAATAAATACAATAATAGAAAATCTTTATGCAATAATATTCTAATGTGCCTTTTGAAAAATACATGCACAAAATAAAAAATAATTGGCACAATTAAAGAAAGAATACATTTTAACACAATTTGACACATGAGATCTCACCTCCTTAAAAGGTCCCAGTATTGCAATGTGTACCATGTAGCTATGCATCCTCGCTCTAGCTGGGTACCGTTCTTGGATGGCCAATAATGCTCCAGATAGGAAGCAGGACCACCGAAGTTGACATTGAGTTGAGAGGGCATACGCACATCAAGGTATGCCGCGTTCAGCCACCACTCCTCCAGCTGCAAGACAAAGACGTTCTTTTATATCGGTATAAGACTAAATGAATCACAAATTAAAGAATTATACAGTTCAGATCGGGTAAGTGATAAGTATGACTACAGGACTCCAAAATGTGAAGTGTTAAAGAGGCAGTCTAGGCAGGCTGGTGGTTAAAATGGCAGGAGCACCATGGAACCATCCAATATTAAATAGTCAAGATGTTTTTTTAAATGGAGTCAGCTGATGCTCTCAGTTCATGAATTTTGTCCAAACACGGGTGGAATGGACATTGACAGAAGTAGGGAATTCTGCATTAGCAATCTCCAAAATGGAGGCCAGAAAGAGGGCACCTTGGGGACCCAGGTAAGATTTAAGTTGTTAAAAAAAAAAACCCAAAAAAACAGTAGGATGTAGGTTAAAAATGCCAAGAATGCCACTTTAAAAAATCACAAAAAAGTGATCTGATTTGCAACTTTTTGCACATGAATAAAGGATATTACAGGGATCTGTACATATGCAAGCCTACATGCACAAATTATAATCCACATTTTCCAGGCAGCCCCCTTTTGGTTTCCTTGTTCCCAAAGTTGGAAAGTAAAGAAATTCTGAAAATGTCCTGCAAAACAACAAAGCCCCAAACCCACCTGGTCTACCCATCCAGAGTACTCAAAAATCAATCAATGCTGTGCCAATATTGGCAGATAATGAGGAAGTGAAATACTTTATTATCACAGCTGCAACTGACCAGGTTGTGTGTGCTGGAGAGCCATGTGCTTGTCAAACCATTAAAAAGTGATTTGTTAAAGGGACACTATAGTCACCAAAAACCATTGGCTTAATTAAGCCGTTTTAATGTATATATCATGCCCAAGCAGTCTCACTGATCAATTTCTTATCTCCTGCTCTGATAATAACTTGCTAGACCCTGTGTGTGCTTAAAGTTCAATTTACAGAGCAGGTGATAAAAATGTTTAAAGTTTGTAACATCTGATTGAAAAGTATACCATTTTGTTTTTAAAGGACCATTATAGTGCCAGGAAAAAAAAAAAACTTGTTTTCCTGGCACTATAGTGTTAATAGGTCCCCCTCACCCTCATGGCCCACCTCCTGCCGGGCTCTAGGGGTAGGAAGGGGTTAATCACTTACCTTTCTCCAGCACCTGGGCTCCCTCGGCGCTGGGGACTCTCCTCCTCCTTCCGACGTCATCGGCTGAATGCGCATTTGCGGCAAGAGCCGCTCGCGTGCAGTCAGTCCATAGGAAAGCATTCTCAATGCTTTCCTGTGGACGCTGTCATCTTCTCACTGTGAAAAATCACAGTGAGAAGCGCAGAAGCGCCTCTAGCGGCTGTCAATGAGACAGCCACTAGAGGCTGGATTAACCCATATGTAAACATAGCAGTTTGTCTGAAACTGCTATGTTTACAGCAGGCAGGGTTAACCCTAGATGGACCTGGCACCCAGACCACTTCATTAAGCTGAAGTGGTCTGGGTGGCTATAGTGTTCCTTTAACCCCTTAAGGACACGACATGTGTGACATGTCATGATTCCCTTTTATTCCAGAAGTTTGGTCCTTAAGGGGTTAAGCAGGGTATGTGAGTCACAACCAGGGGAGATGTGTCTAGGGCTGTATAAACAGAAATAAAAGGGATTTAACTCCTAAATGGCAGAGAATTGAGCAGTGAAACCTCAGATGCATGCTCTACACACAAAAACTGCTTTATTAATGTAAATTTGCTTTGGTGACCCTAGTGTCCCTTCAATTACTTGACTAACAGTACCAAATACTGCTGGCACCATAACAAGGATAGTAAGCTGTTGTGGTTATGGCACTTAGAGAGCTTTTAGCATTCCATCCGAAGATAAGAAACTAAATTTAGTCATGTTTCTGATATATACAAGATGATAGCATAGAACAGACCATACAGCTGTATAACAGTAAGGATTGTACACAATAAATGCGAGAAGCCGAAACTGGCACAGAGAAAATATAATTTTTATTTATTTTTTTAAATAAAAGGATAATATTAAAAATAGAATAGAAGTTTTATCATAGCATATTAAATATTTGCCATTTAACAGCTTAACCCCTTAATGCCGGAGGGCTTACTATTACGTCCTATTTTAAGCGGCTCTAAACGCCGCCGGGCGTAATAGTAGGCCCTCCGTTTTTTTTGTACTTACCAGGAGCCCCCCCGCACATCCGACGTCCTGAAGCCCCCCCCGGCCATGTGAGAGTGAGGTCCTTGCGAGGACCTCACAATCACATGGCCGGGATAGCTGGCTTCTGTATCGCCAGCAGGGGGGCTGCCTGTAATGACAGGTGGTCCCCGTGCTGGCTGGAAATAAAATAAAATAATGTTAAAAGTGTAAAAAAAAAAAAAAGTATATATATTAATATCAAATTACACGTAGACTGATACTGATTAAATATATATAATTATTGTTATATATATATTTATATATATAAAATATAAAAAAAAATGTAAATACGTTAAAAAATAAAATTAAAAAAATATATAGATGTGTGTTATTTCATTCTAACTGTATTGTGATAATATATATTTATATCAAAATACATGTAGAACGAAATATATATATATCTATATACATAAATATATACATATATATCACTATAGATATAGCTATATATAAATAAAAATATTTTAAAAAATTATATATATATATATATATATAAATAAAAATATTTTAAAATTTTATATATATAATTTTCCGGCGTATAAGACGACTGGGCGTATAAGACGACCCCCAACTTTTCCAGTTAAAATATAGAGTTTGGGATATACTCGCCGTATAAGACTACCCCTCTTCCAATGCACACCAAATAAAAATTAGCCATGATGTACAGTGAGCAGACAGAGCTACACAGCAAGACATTAAATAATGATAATCTGAAATAGCATTTAAAGCCCAGGTATGTGCCAGGCTGTTTGGGCATATAATCCATGCCTGCTGGTCTAGCACACAGGAGGCTAATTGCGATATATTCTTTTTACTCCCCCCCTCCATTCTTTTTACTCCCCCCCCAATCCTCCCTACGTTCTTCTCACCTCCCCTTCCCTGTGCAGAGTGGGTGGCCGAGCTCTTCTCTTCGTCCTGCGCGGTACAGGAGATTCAGTTACCTGTTCCCGGCCGGACTGAAAGGAAGTGACACTGAGTGCTCATTTCCTTTCAGTCCGGCCGGGAACAGGTAACTCAATCTCATGTGCCGCGCGGTATCCGGCCGGGCTGACAGGTGAGAAGAGAGGCAGTGCGGGAGCCGTCTGAGCGCTCTCTATAGAGTGCTCAGGCGGCTGCAGCATTAGAAGGGCTGGCGATGGGGGCGCATCATATATATTTATTACATATATATTTATGTAATATTTTTTACATAATTAGGTATCTTAATTAATTACAATTAGCAGGACCTGCCTGACAACCCATGCCGAAAGTAAAGGGAATTTAATTTAACCCTATAACTTTCCAAGACACCATAAAACCTGTACATGGGGGGTACTGTTCTACTCGGGAGACTTCGATGAACACAAATATTAGTGTTTCAAAACAGTAAAATGTATTACGATGATTTCACCAGTAAAAGTGACGTTTTTTGCATTTTTCACGCACAAACAGCATTTACACGGATGATATTATAGCTGCTATACTTTTTACTGTTTTGAAACAAAATATTTGTGTTCAGCAAAGTCTCCCGAGTACAACAGTACCCCTCATGTACAGGTTTTATGGTGTTTTCAAAAGTTACAGCATCAAATATAAGGCTTGTGTTTCATTTTTTTCACATTAAAATTTGCCAGATTGGTTAGGTTGCTTTTGAGACCCTATGGTAGCCCAAGAATGGAAATTACCCCTATGATGGCTTACCATTTGCAAAAGAAGACAACCCAAGGTATTGCAAACGGGGTATGTCCAGTCTTTTTTAGTAGCCACTTGATCACAAACACTGGCCAAAATTGGCGTTTTTTGCATTTTTCACACACAAACAAATACTAACGCTAACTTTGGCCAGTGTTTATAACCAAATGGCTACTAAAAAAGACTGGACATACCCCATTTGCAATACCTTGGGTTGTCTACTATTGCAAATGGTATGCCATTATGGGTGTAAATTTAATTCCTGGGCTACTATACAGTCTAAAAGGCAACATAACCAATCTGGCGAATTTCAATTTCAAATGTAACGTGTTATATTTGACCCTGTAACTTCCCAAAACGCCATAAAACCTGTACATAGGGGGTACTGTCTTACATGTGAGACTTTACTGAATACAAATATGTGTATTTTATTGCAGTAAAAGCAAACAGTATTATGACATTGACAGTTAAAATGTCACGTAGAACAAAAAAAAAACAAAAAACTTATTTTCTCCCATGTTTTTCATATTAAATTAGGTTTCATAGCTAAATATTTGATATTAAATGAAAGCCCTCTTTCCCCTGAATAAAATGATAAATAATAAGGGTGGGTGCATTTACTATGAAAGAGGTGAATTACGGTTGGACAGACATGTAGCGCAAATGCCAGGTTTTGTTTAGATTTTGTTTTGTTCACAACATGTACATTTGGCTCCATCCTTAAGGGGTTAAATGCACAAGCATGGAACTACTGGAGCAAACAGTTAGTAGCCACATTTGTATTGTCCCGATAAAGGTTAGTAACTAAAAATAAATGTACAATATAAAATGCAAACTGGTGGGCAGAAGCTTTCCACACAGGCTCTCATAAACCCCAACTCATCCAACTTCCGATGCCGGGATTCCGCTCATCTGCAATGGCTAGAGTCCCACGATGCTCACAGAATGAGTGGAGAACACCGTTCTCCCTTGGCCATAGGCCACCATACGAGCCAACGCAGGATGCCCACGTATACAGCCATTCCTGTAAAACAGATCTGTATCCCTACATTTTTACTAGGACCAACCCTCCCGGAATGTGAGTGGCTTCGGAGAGACCGTCTTTCCAAGGCCTGTGCCTAGGTAAGCAGTCGCTGGATATTGGCTTTGTGGATCAGTACTTGCTGTGCATCAGGGAGGAGGTCCGGTCTATAGGCTGCTCCGATCATGTATTGCAGGAACGTGTGTGTGAAAAGGGACCTGGAAGACTTGCAGATCACCCCACAAATACTTATATTTAATCATGAACTGTAGTGTCCCCAGGCGGTAGAGGCGAATATGTAGCTACAGATACTGCAAAGCCTCCAAATGTATATTTAGTTTGTTTATCTCTTGAGGAGCTCATTGAACCTGCATCTTGCTCAGTTGGCTGCCAAGCCCTGCCACTGATACAGATACATTTTAATTTAAAAAAAAAAAAAAAAAAGGCAGGAATCCGATTGCAGTATAGATGCAATATTTGCATTTCACATAACTATATAATAAATTCAAACCTACTTTAATTAATCAACCGACTCTTAGGATTTTACCTTAGTAAGAAAAAAAAAAAAAAAACCCCAAAAAACAGAAGAATTTAAATGCTTACCCAGTTCTTTCGGACTCTTGCCCTTTCAATAAGTTTTTGGTGCAATTCTTTACCAATTCCATTTTCAAAACGTTTTACAATTTTGCATGTGTTTTCAAATTCTTCTTGGCTTAAAAAAGGTTTTACTGCAAATAGGAAAGGCAGTTATTAAAGCGTGTAAAGGGAAATGAAAAATAACGGTTGGTTTGGTCGGCCAAAGAAAATAACATTAAAGAAAATGTCAGTTAAAAAGGCACTCTAAGTACCAAAATAACTTTAGTTTAATGAGGCAGTTTTGGTGTATAGATCATGCAAATGCAGTCTCGCTACTCAATTCTCTGCCATTTAGGAGTTAAATAAATTTGTTCCTATTTATGCAGGCCTAGCCACTCCTCTCTGGTTCTGACTCATACAGCCTGCATGAAAAGAAAAAAAAAGATTTACATTTCAATCAGATCTTACAGCACTGTGTGCTTACTTTATAAGTTCCTATCTTTAGCTATGTTCATGGAGTTTTAATCACACACAGGAGGCTGCTGCATGCTCTGGCAAGATATTAAGGGAAGCTAAAATAAATTAGACTCAAGAAGTCTGTAGGGAGGACGCATGGGTCTCAGGTAGTGGAAACTTGGCTAGAACTGCATAAACAAATTGGGTTAAGTCCTAAATGGCAGAGAATTGAGCAGTAAGACTGCAGGAGTCTGATCTATACACAAAAACCACTTGATTAAACTAAAGTTGTATTGGTGCTTAGAGTGTCCCTTAACTTTCCAAACGATCCCAAGTATCTCCTCTCCTGGCAGAGTAACATTTTCCACTGGCTCTCCAGTTATTCCTTAACATTATACACAACCCTGCCAGGCATACTGATAGAATGGCAGAATGTTGAGAGAGGGCGCTTGGCACTTATGATTATTAGAGTTTCTTTTTCATACTTAGAAAACGGCTTTATTATCCTGCAAATACATTCTCCAAAAAGGTTCAGATTTTTTTCTGAAGTCCCATATTCCGTACTTCTCCTCCTACTAATGTTAAAGTGTAAACACAGGGGTCCAGTTTAATTTTAAGTAATGCCTAATATAATCTTTTTATCGCATGAATTGTTTCTAAGGCAATCAAGTTTTGATACAACTTAACCATGTATTTATGCAAAGCTGTAATTGTATTCATTTTAACTATTTGTCTTTGTTGCCTTAAATAATCAATTATTCTATTTATACATTGTGAAACGACAATATTAGATCTCTGTACAGAATTTGTTTCTCACCTTATCCTTAATTGAAAAAAAATTTAAAAATGTATTTTTTATTTTTTAAAGTGCTATATGATTTCTAAGGACACAGACACTTTAAATTGCTGTTGGACCATTTTGCACTATATCCGTTTTTAGTCTTAATTCTATCACAACGTAGACATCAGCTTTGTCAAAACCTCATTAATGCAAATGATATGACAACATATTATATATTCATGATTGACATGCAATTGACATATTTAACATGCAATAAAAAAATGCATTAAAAAAATATAAAATAAATTACTGTTGGAGTAAGAGTTTTGACAGTATAATTCTAACAAATAGGATTCAAAAAAAATAAAAAATAAAAGTATTATAAAAAAATAAAAATAAAAAAAAAGCAAGGATGTTTTTTGGGTGTTACATATCACTTATATGTAACACCCAAAAAAACATCCTTGCTTAAAAAAAAAAAAAATAAATAAATAACTCTTGCATTCTAACAAGAACTATTTCTATTCAGAAACATGAATCCTGTTTATTAAAGAACAACAAAAATCTAAGTAAAAAGAAAAATATATAAGCAGAATTATGTAAAAGCACATTACATTCATTACAAAAAAGAAAAATACAGAAATAAACAATGTTAAAAAAAAAAATATATATATTTTAAGAAAAGATTAAAAATACGGTTTCAAAATAAATGTTTTTCAAGTGTTACAAATAATACCTTATCGGAAAAGTGACACCTAATTACTGTCAAATTAATGATGTCATGTTTAGTCATGTCAAACATGCTCTGAGAGTAGGCTAAAAACATGCAATTTTTAGCCTACTCTCCAAGCCTTCTGATTGACCAGGGAGGTACAAATATAATGAAAGGTGTGCGTTACGTACCTGCATCACAGTATTTAGATAAAGACTCTTCAAGATTAGGTACTGGAAGAGGAGGTAGTGAATTCTGATACTGAAATGTTCTCTCTTCTAAAGGCTCAAATGTGTGATTTGCCATGATTATTCAGATCTAATCATCTGGAGGAGGAACAAATAGAAACAATAATTAAGACACACACACACACACATATATATATATATATATATATATATATATATATATATATATATATATATATATATATATATACACATATATATATATACACATATATATATATATATATATATATATACACATACACACATATATATATATATATATATACATACACACACACATATACATATAAATATATAAAATGTCTTTCTTGGCACTCACCCTTTCATATGTATAGCACAATATTGCCTAGGTGCAATCCCATGTTGAGAAAATATATAAAGAATGAAGTTCTTAAGTCCTTAGAGTGCATCTCTTCATTATATATATCTGGAGCCAACTGAGCAAGATGCAGGTTCAATGAGCTCCTCAAGAGATAAACAAACTAAATATACATTTGGAGGCTTTGCAGTATCTGTAGCTACATACTCGCCTCTATATAATAATCCAATATGCTTGCACTTCCTGATGAAAGTCCCCTTGGTGGGACTGTAACGTCCACTCTTTTTATGATGAACCATATATATAAAAAATGTCTTTCTTGGCCTTCAAAGACGGAAATAGTATTTAAAGTACTTAACCTTTATTGGTTCATCATAAAAAGAGTGGACGTTACAGTCCCACCAAGGGGACTTTCATCAGGACAAATAAATACATTTTAACTCCTTTTGAGTGCAGTCAATTTTTTGTATTTTTAAATGTTGTCAGACCAGCACAGACTAAACTTTGCCAGGAGTGCAAGCATATTGGATTATTATATATATTATTATATATATATCCAGACCGGAGGAAGAGAGAGAAACTTTTGAAAGCTTGTCTGTTAAGTATTGTTAGTCCATTAAAAAAGGTATCATTCTGTTGCCGGTCTTGCCCTATAACCCAGTGACTATAGTAAACAGCTTTCATGAATACTAAATGAGAGCATTAACGGCTAATGAGAAATAGCCCTCTCATGAGGGATTATAGCACTTGGAACAACGCCAACGTAATAGTAGAGTTCAGATAAGAGAGACTGAAACATTAATAGAAAATTGTTTATTTAGTGTTTAAACATTTAGACGTGAAGTTAAACGTTCAGAAATTAAGTTATTTTTAGTTTCTTTTGACAGTTTAGCATTTTTGTCATAGATTTTTATTGGATGTTTTAAGCTTTAAATTTTTTCAGCTTCATGTTCCTTTAATAAAAGAGCCAAGTGTTACAAGGCTTTTAGATGACTTTGCTTGTGCTTAAAGCTTTCATTTCAAGGTGAATGTTCCAGTTTTGTTTGAAGGAACATTCCCAAGCACCATAATCACTACAGGTGTCAGGAGTGCTTTCTCACAATAAGATTGTGGTCGTGGTGCCAGGATATACAAAGAAACATATTGTGTGACAAATCATAGGCCTGTTGGGAGATATTTGCTATTTCACATACGAAGGTCAAAAAAAAAAATATAAAAAAAAAAAAAAAAAAAAGAACTGAACATTTAAAAAAAAAACAAAAAAAAAAAACAAAGACGAATTTAAACATTAATGGTTAATGTAAAGGCGTCTGCTTGCAACAGGTATGCTACAATGTTTTCCAAATATTTTATTCAACAAACAATGAATTGTTTTTTAGACTTTGGGCTGACCTTTTGTCTAGTTAGCATACATCATCAAATGTTCTTTATGTATTGGACTTTAGACATTTACTTATCACTTTCAGATAATATAAACAATGAAGGTAGATAGGTTGAAAAAAAATTCTAGACACATGCGGAGATTGTGCTAACACTATATATTTATATATAACAAGACATACAGAAACAAGAGGATGGCCGGTTAATCTATTACGGTTAAAAGGGACCAGCCGTCAGGTTTATCCAGCATGTAAATAGGAGTAGTCGAAAACAAGGACCATGGCTAAATGTTAGTGACGCATTTTAGCCGCCTATTAAAGGTGGCAGTGTAGGCACAATAACCACCGAAGTTATATGTTGTGGTTTTAACAATTGGCTGCATCCCCCTGATTAAGAGTCAAGCTGCTTCCAAACAGAAAAAAAGGCCATCCAGCATCAGATTTTTCCCCACAGGCTTTCATATGGGGAGGTCTAAATAGCGTGCAGCATTTGCCGCGCATGCGCATTAGAGCCCACTCATTGCGGGGCGGAGGAGGAGCTTCGACCCAGTGTCGAAGGACATCTGAGCTGGGATCAGGTAAGTAAATAAAGGGTTTTTAACCCTTTATTTAACGGGGACGGGGGGAGGCGTTAGTGTCAGGAATATAGCTTTGTATTCCTAGCACTATAGTATCCCTTTAAAAGGACACAAAGGCACCCACACCACTTCCTCTCAATGAAGTGGTCTCAGTGGTCCTTTAGTTTTAATCAGCTTTAGAAGACATGGCAATGCTTTTATTGCAGGATTAAACACGCCACTAGTGGCTCTCTTCCTGATAGTCATTTGAGAGCTGTCCACTGTGAGAACTGAGACAAACTCAGTTCTCACACCTAACCTCAATTTCACAGGTGGAGTGCAGGAATGCACGTGCATGAGCTTATTTTTTTGTACATTTTTTGGGATTGTACATTTATTTATTTATAATATTTTACCAGGATGGATAGATTGAGGTGGACATAGTGCATGAACTTACCTGTGGTAAGGACAGTATCGTACAGCGACTGAGAAGCCTGTGGTACACAGAATAACCAGTAGGGGTCAGTGTGTAGGTGAAAAATGCAGTGGTTTGTTGGTTTGTACATGAAATGCAATAATATCTGAGAAGCCTGTAGTACACCAAAAGACTGGTAGGGGTCATGTACATGAAATGCATTGTCTGAGAAGCCTGTAGTACACCCGATGACCGATAGGGGTCAGTGTGTAGGCGAAAATGCAGTGGTTCGTTGGTTTGTACATGAAATGCAATAATGTCTAAGCAGCCTGTAGTACACCAAAAAACGGTAGGGGTCAGTGTGTAGGCAAAAATGCAGTGGTTCGTTGGTTTGTACATGAAATGCGATAATGTCTAAGCAGCCTGTAGTACACCAAAAAAACAGTAGGGGTCAGTGTGTAGGCGAAAAATTGTATTTCGTTCGTAGTTTTAACCGAACATATTTTAACCAAAACAGATTTTAAATGAACAGCTAGGTGAGTATAAAGTAATGAAATAACCGTGCAAAACAAAAGGAAACCGTAAAGTGAGGACCCGTGCTGTACTGAACGCCGTGGGAACTAATCCTGGCGCGACAAGTGGGTCAACTTACGGTTTGAGAGTCCCTGAGACACCAAATGTGATACTGACCAGTGAGAAAGCCACTGGATTAACGGAAAGCCCTGCTGCAGGATTCCTGGACACAGCTTGGAGTAGGAGACCTCATGGAGCAGAGGTAAAACCAAAATGGCGTCTTGTTTGACCTGGAAGTGGATCTCATGCAAATGCTGACCTCAAACAGTCTATTCGTCTGACTTACAAAGGTAAGTAGGGAAAGGGGGGAGTGCATTTTATAGGTCTATAGCCCCTCCCACAACTTCAGGCCATGCCTTCCAATATATATATATATTTTTTTATTTTTTTTTTATGTCCTGAGGAAAGTTCATTGTTGTGAACTGAAACGTTGATTAAAAGCCATTATATTTTTTACAGAAGTCCTTGAGTCCTGGCTCTTCTATGGAATATATATACATACGCACACACAAAAAAAAAAATATATATATATATATATATATATATATATATATATATATATATAAAATCTGTGTGTGTACGGGGTTATTAGAGGATGTACAATTAAAAGTATGTAATTCGATAAGGCCAAAGTCGGTTGAGGTGTGCCTAAACCGACGAGAGGTTAGGCCTGTAAAAAGAGGGCCCACCTGGTATATTGATGTAAATAAAAAGGGTGAGGTGAGAGGGGAACTTCCAAACAGCGACGATAGGTAAGCTGGGGTTACTGGGGGTTTAAATAGGAAAATAACCCGTCCAACAATTTCAGGCATATGCCTTCTACTTGCGTACGGGGTAATTAGAGGACGTACAATTAAAAGTATGTAATTCAACAAGGCCAAAGTCAGTTGAGGTGTGCCGAAACCGACGAGAGGTTAGGCCTGTAAAAAGAGGGCAAAAAATATAAAACAAGATTAATGATTTCTCACAATTAGCAATCGTTTAGTTACATTATCAAAAGGAAGTCTGATTTCCATCATGGGTTAGGAATGTACCTATTGTAATCCAACGTCCCATAATTCTAATTATGTTTTAACGTAACCTGCCCATTAGAGGCTTCTGTTGTTGTATGGAATGAGTGGCCCGAGTAGGGGGAAGGATTAAGGACTGGGTGGAGTAATAAAGTAACAAATATAGTTATTGGAGGAAGTAATGGGTAGTTAGGGACCTGGCTAATCTGGTCTTTGACTAGGAGTATAAAGTTTGAACCGGGCACAATTTAAAATACCCGATTGCTATGTTTGGTATGAGGAGTAGATATAATGTAATGTTTGTTGATTCCTGAATTCGTGACGCATGAGTGAAGGTTGAATGCTTCCGACAGTAAAATTCTATCTTTTTGGCCTCAAGAAACCGTAAAAAGCCAAGTACGGTAAGCTGCTGACTTAACACTAGGTAATTAGGGTTATTAAAGGGACGTTTAATTGTCAATTTGAAGATTCCCTCTAAGATTTACTGTCGATAGGGAGTGAATTGGATGATTTGTGGAGCTTTGATCTATGACCCCTGTTAGCACATCTTTACTGAATTAGAAAGCAATTGGGAGCTGTTGGGGTATATTGTCTACATGTAATGGTAATTCCCGTAAGTATAGTTCAATTGTATTGTAGGCTAGTTTCCAAGAGATGTGGCAAAAAAATTTGTGCAAGCAACCATTTACAATTGGAACACATTTATTAAATTGAAATTATATACAACTTTTACACCTATCGTAAGCTTTTATAGTAAGTTTCCTTAGTATTGGTAGACAAATTTACCTGCGTAATTTACCAAACTAACTTAAGGCATGATTAGACCTTTGAACTGTAGAGGATCTCTGGGCTGCATGTACTTTAGGCTCAACCGTTACCTTTAAGCAAGGCCAGACTTCATGAGTTTAGGAGGCTCTACCTTTGATTTGGGCCGTGTGGACTTGTAGCTGCTATGTTTTGTAGCGGGGCAGTAAAAGAGACAATACTTGTGGCCGTGACATGTGAGGCCCTACCAAAGACCCTTTAGAAAAGTAAGCGAGGCACTAAGTCTGAGTTGGGCCGAACCTCCGTGTTGAGGTGAGTAGTTGGCTTCGCGCAATATTTGTCTAAGGTCAGTTCTTCTCACCCTTGGCAGGGTTTGTTTCTTGTGGATGAGCATGAACATAACCGTACATGCGTGAGCCAAGTGGATAGAACCAGAGAGAAAAAGGACTGGAAAAGGCATCTGACAAAACTACCGGTTGTGATGCGAAACTAGAATAAAAATACAGTGACTAACGGTAGGGAAAATATAGGAATCTGAAAAGGAGCTTTTGATTGTGGTTTAAACTTAAAGATGATATGTGTCGTATAATAAATACCCTTATGATCGTTTACTTGATAGGCTTGGGATGGTAAATTGTCTGTATTATAAGATGCCTATAGGTGTAACTTCTTAGACAGAAACAGATAGCATGACCGAAAGTCAATCCTGATGGTCTACTTAGAATGTAAGTAACATAGTGTATGCAACATTAAATAGCATAACGAATGATTCAATGTGCATGGAGAACCTTACGAATGTCAAGCGTGCAGAGACAAGTCCCTATTCACTGTTAAGGATTTGAATTATATTCGTTTGGTCGTAATGAAGGCCAAGAGATGCCTCAATGTTTGATATGAAACAAGTAGGAATTGTGGTTTACCCTGTCTTTATTAGACTTGCTAATGCTTTAACCTGTATTGCCTTGTATAATTGACGTAGACGTGATAATTAAGCGATAGTATGAGTTAACGTATGGTAATCTAGAACACAATGTACTGAAATGCCCCTAATGGGTTGTCAAGTAATAAATAGTATACTTTGTAAAGAATAAATCTGGAAGCCGTCACTATATGTACTATATGTATAGAGGATCTGACGATGGTCTGATACCAGGCCTAAATATGTACAACGTGTAAACGTAAAAGGCAGCGTGAGTCCCAATATATGTGTTTAACTGGAAATATGTGTAAGAAATAAAACACCTGTAACAAATTGTTGGAGGAAATCGCTGATCTTGGTTTCCACTAAATTGATATGGGCACCTAGTGAATGTGGTATAACAGGATCACAAGTGAGTGACAAGTTGGGTAAATATATGTATTTAGGTATCATCCTTGTACTGCTGTATCTAATTAACTCGTAGACCCTTAGCCCGTAAGTGATTGAAGTACTGAAAGCATGGATTAGCCTTGTATGATAGTTCTGACATACTGTTTGTATTACTGTAAGGGGCATATATATAACGCACAATCGAAACTAAAGCTATAACGAGGAGGGAATAATCCACTAAGATGCCTGATATGAAATATAGTGAATATGCATGATTGGGTCTGCAGGCGCCATCCCCCAACTTAATACTAGTGTGTGTGTGTGTGTGTGTGTGTGCTGGCTGACTAGCTAGTTACTGGGTGTTTAAATAGGGAAATAACCCCTCCCACAATTTCAGGCATATGCCTTCTACATAAATTTAACGTTGCACAAGCAGGATCAAGTAGCTTTAGGGACTTGATTAAAGGGATGGAAAAAAGATAAGTAATATCATTTCTTGCAGTTTTTATTGAGATTTGGGAGAGGGTGGGCTGAATCTAAATAAAGAGCAGAACATAAGTGATGTGGTGTTTCTTCTAAATTTATATTGAATCATAATAAAATACAATAAAAATTATTTTATGCTGATATTTCCTATGAGGGAACGTTTTATTGTATTTTATTTTGATTCTTATTTTTGTTTTATTGCACGTATGGTCTCTGACGAAGTCCAATATTTGGATGAAACGAGTAGGACCAAACTATTTTATTTATATTTTGTATATTTTTGTTTTTTTATCTGTTGCTGGTGTGAAGACAGCATCCAGGAGGGAAGGTGGAATTGGATAGCCCCCCTATATATCTACTGGGGGAGCACCCCGAGGCGATTTAAATTCCACAAATCCTATGAGTGTATTTCTTCAAGCGCAGTGTTTTAGACAAACATTTTTTGCTGTATTACACTATGTTGGATTTTGTTTGTAGCTCTATAGCTGATCCCCAATATATTTAGCATTTTGCTTACTCTGCAAGCGGACACTTTCTGGGATATCGCCTGGGGAAGCTGTGCATTATAACATTTAACAAGATAAGTCTATTTTTTCACTAAATTTTTCCCCCAAAGTTTTCAATCAACGCTGGTCAGCCTTGCTTCTGTTCCTGCCTATCGGGATAACGGCCTGTTGTGTGTAATATTGAGTATTCTAGGCATGCATTATATGGGCGTGTGGGTGAGTGGAGGGCAGATGGTATCAATACATCACATTGCTTTCTTTGCCTGAGAATTTTGGAATGTGGTTCGGAACCAATAGGAATTTGACTGGAGTTTAACTGGGGATAGCCGATCTCTTATTTTCTGGACAACGACACTAACTCTCCCGAGTCTAGTAAATAACATCTGCATTTGAATATCCATCGTCCTGTAACATCCGTTGTAATTTTAGTAAGTTTTAGTAATTTTAAGCAGAATAGAAACATAGAATGTGACGGCAGATAAGAACCATTCGGCCCATCTAGTCTGCCCTATTTTCTAAATACTTTCATTAGTCCCTGCCTTATCTTATAGTTAGGATAGACCTACGCAAAACGTAAGTCTGGTGTGTACTGATATTTCTAACTGACACACAGAAGAATTAAAAACATCACACGAGCCACCAAACTAAAAGAAAAACGGGACATTACACCTTCACTAATCACCATCAGTGCACACAGGGCATTACACCTTCACTAATCCCCATCAGTGCACACAGGACATTACACCTTCACTAATCCCCATCAGTCCACACAGGACATTGCACCTTCACTAATCCCCATCAGTGCACACAGGACATTGCACCTTCACTAATCCCCATCAGTACAAACAGGACATTGCACCTTCACTAATCCCCATCAGTACACACAGGACATTGCACCTTCACTAATCCCCATCAGTACACACAGGACATTGCACCTTCACTAATCCCCATCAGTACACACAGGACATTGCACCTTCACTAATCCCCATCAGTACACACAGGACATTGCACCTTCACTAATCCCCATCAGTGCACACAGAGCATTGCACCTTCACTAATCCCCATCAGGGCATTGCACCTTCACTAATCCCCATCAGTGCACACAGGGCATTACACCTTCACTAATCCCCATCAGTGCACACAGGGCATTACACCTTCACTAATCCCCATCAGTGCACACAGGGCATTACACCTTCACTAATCCCCATCAGTGCACACAGGGCATTACACCTTCACTAATCACCATCAGGGCACACAGGGTATTACTCCTTCACTAATCACCATCAGGGCACACAGGGTATTACACCTTCACTAATCACCATCAGGGCACACAGGGTATTACACCTTCACTAATCCCCATCAGGGCACACAGGGTATTACACCTTCACTAATCCCCATCAGGGCACACAGGGTATTACACCTTCACTAATCCCCATCAGTGCACACAGGACTTTACACGTTCACTAATCCCCATCAGTGCACACAGGACATTACACCTTCACTAATCCCCATCAGTGCACACAGAGCATTGCACCTTCACCAATCCCCATCAGTGCACACAGAGCATTGCACCTTCACCAATCCCCATCAGTGCACACAGAGCATTGCACCTTCACCAATCCCCATCAGTGCACACAGAGAATTGCACCTTCACCAATCCCCATCAGTGCACACAGAGCATTGCATCTTCACCAATCCCCATCAGTGCACACAGGACATTGCACCTTCACTAATCCCCATCAGTGCACACAGGACATTGCACCTTCACTAATCCCCATCAGTGCACACAGGACATTGCACCTTCACTAATCACCATCAGTGCACACAGAGCATTGTACCTTCACTAATCACCATCAGTGCACACAGAGCATTGTACCTTCACTAATCACCATCAGTGCACACAGAGCATTGTACCTTCACTAATCCCCATCAGTGCACACAGAGCATTACACCTTCACTAATCACCATCAGTGCACACAGAGCATTACACCTTCACTAATCACCATCAGTGCACACAGAGCATTACACCTTCACTAATCACCATCAGTGCACACAGAGCATTGCACCTTCACTAATCCCCATCAGTGCACACAGAGCATTGCACCTTCACTAATCCCCATCAGTGCACACAGGGTGGGTTAATACAGGGATGCTGTGTGCAATTCTTACTTACTCACTGCTTATAGAGTCTGTTGATGTTCCCAACACAAGTGCCTAAACCAGCTGTCAGGAGAGCTGATATCCTCATGCCTTGGAGCCTGGGACAGGTGGAGCAGCTCTAGGGCCTGTTTGTACACCTTGCAGGCAGCACTCCTGTTACCTTTTGTCTTTTAGTTTCAGCTGGACGAACTCCAGTTTTGCACAAAACACAACCTCTGCCCTAGATCTTATCATTACTCCTACTAGTACGGAGCAGTGCGAGGGACAAACTTGTGGCAGTACAGGAGCCCTTAGTGCTACGGTAGCTGTTATGACCTGTCACTGGCAGCCAGACCAGTAGGGGGAGTCACGTGTAAGAAGAGGAATAGAACCCTGGCATTCAGTCTGACGAGCATTCTAAAGATCATGTGCTCAATATTCTGAGGGCAGGGTGACCCAGGAAGCCATCTTTAATGTGGGCACATAGAAAATGAAACCAAGCTCAGCCTGCGAAATATGAAATTGTAACAATGTTTCCCTATCCGCAAGGAAGGCTGCTGGTCATGTGACATGCATGTTCAGTGCCTGCCCACATCCCAGGGGTAGAACTAATAGCACAAATAGCTATGTGACCTATATTTAATTAATAAGTGATTCCTTGACTGCTGCCTATTAGTTATCTCATCCTCGCAGACACAGAGAGCACAGGTTCCCAGCTGCTGAGGAATAAGGATCCCAGGACCTGGGGAGACACAGGTATGCAGGGTGATGGGTCTGCTGGAATTCTAAATACACTGGGACTAGGGCTTTGTCACATTTATTTAAGGACTAATAGCATTGATTTCCACATATTTTATTAGTGTTATTATTGGCATTTATATAGCGCCAACGCATTCCGCAGCGTTTTTACTATATCATAAAAAGTAGAAATTTAACAGTAAATGAGACAATTACAAAATGTTACAGTAACAACATCCAATAAATCATTCCTAGGTATTGGGTAACATTGCACTTTAGCAGGTAGGGGATACTAAATTGGGAAATCCAAGGGTAGTGTTGTACACAGGTAATCAAAGAATAACTGCTGCCACCTCAGCGCCCCGTGGAAGGGATCCGCAGTCCCTTGTAGTAACTTTAAATTAATAGTTCTATACAACACATGATTAAGGCTTGAGGCCAAAACGTTGTATGTGATTTTGTTCTTCTGATCTCAATAAATATCACCTTCATTACATCAGACCGTCATGCCTTTGGGCCATTGATTTGAGTTATGGGATTCTAGTATATGGACAGGTGAATGTCTAATTGATTGGCAGGTGTGTGTGTGTATAGTTTTAAAATTCTTCTTCCATTTCTTTCTCCTTCCTTCTTTTACACTATGATACGTACACATACTACCTTTCAGATAGATTCTCACAAACATGCACACTGTGGGTTGCAGATGCAAATTTGGGGCAACGTGGTACATGTTTAAAGACCTCTTGCCAGTTTCCATGCAGGGCTGGTACGAGTTTTTTCTACACCAGACAGAAATCCACTTTGCAACCCCTTTGTGTATCCCACTTAACCATTCACAGGGTTATTCAGTAAATTGAGAATTGAAAGTTAATTTAACATTTATGGCCAAAGTGGACAAACTGGAAGCATAGCCGACTTACAAAATGTTTCCAGCTTGACTAATTTACCTTGAATTTGAAATTCACTTTGATTTCTCACTATAGTGAACAGCCCTGAGAGTCTCTTTTCCCATCTCTTTGGCCTCCTTGGTTTTTCCCATTCATCTCACACATCATCTGACCATTTATCTTAGATTTTTTTTTGACTATTTCTTGTTATTTCTCTTACCATCTATCATTCCCCCCTCCATCTGTCATTTTCATAACTATTATTTACCACTCTATACAGTAGTCTGTGTGTGTTGTAGGCTGTGCGTTTAGTAAATAAAGCATGTTTGCGTAACCGTCACCACAAATTAAAATTTGTATTTAATTAAAACCTGTATCAAGCTATTTAATACTAACAACATGACCAAGCTAAATGTTAATTTCTGCATTAAAAGTGCACCACTCTTGATTTCCTTACAAAAAATGCGCGCAGTTATGCTAATATGCCTATTCTGTAAACCTTATTGTTCAATCCTATCTTGCTATTGCTGCTGTGGCATAGCGAGAATGCTTGTTACCCTCATGCACGTTAAGAATAAAGAATTTATAAAAAGAATCTCAGTTACACTGTACAGTGAGTAAAGCCCATTTGAGTGTGTGAATGTTTACTTGCCTAGTTGGGGTGCAGTGAGTAAAAGGTTGATAATCCTATAACTTTCTGCTATCGACACTTGTTTCGCAATTTGTCTGTTGCTCAGTCTTCGTTCATGCTCATGCTTTTTATATGCATTTGATTATTCGTTGTCACCCATGAGCCTTCTGCTCATGAATAAAATCATTGTGCGCACACTACTTATATGTGAGGGAAGGTCATGGGCACCACATTTGTTCACGTTTGCCAAGCTTGTTTGGATACTAATATCTGGATATATCATTTTGTATTTTTTTTAAATACTCTGTCAGGAGTAGATAATGTTCAATCAATCAATAGGCTGTTTTATAAAAGGGAACACAGTTATGGGAATGTGTGCTAAAGTAACTTTAGATTCATTGTGTTTAAAGGACCACGCTAAGCACAATAATCACTACACCCCCTGTTTGAGAGGAATGGTGGGTAAGGAAGATATAAAGCCTGGTAGCAGCATTCTCTGCATATTGTAGAGGGATAATGTGGATATTGGGAACACTGATGAACAAGTGCATTTGTAGCATCTTGTGTTAGATGGGGGTAAATAGAGCAGCATTTTCAAAGTTGCAGTAACATGATTTGGAGACAGAGTGAATGGCAAAAAGGCAAGACTGAAAGCGATGTAATAAGTGTTCCACTGACCTGCAGTAAGTGGAGGTAAAATATAAGAAGGACAAAAGAAAAAAATCAGGTATTGGAAAAGCGAAACCAGGAAAATAAAATCCGGGTGACTCCAATTGCATTACTTTTGCGTCTGGAGCTTCAACTCTCATTTTTAATCCAGAACTGAATAATGAGTTCCATTCTTTGCATATCATATTTTAGAAAGCCGCTAAATTTTTCAGTTTTTATAGATCTCTCAATATTTATTTCTCAGAATGGACAAAGTTATATCCTGCATGTACAAAAAACCCAACGCCACTACAAGGTTAATATGCTTCCCATGGGCTGGAGGAGGATCGATATTCTTTGCCAATTGGGGAAGACTGTTCGATGAGTCTGTAGAAGGTTTGTAATTATTTAACTATTCGTGGTATGTTTCTTTCCCTCTATAGGAGAACGGAAATGATTTTGATTGATGTGTTTTTGTAACGGACCGTTTTGCTCACCAGAGGTTAAAAACCGTTTAGGCGATATTCCCCTTTTTCAGCTGCACAGACAGCTACTGTAAGCACCGATCTCCCGAACTGGAAACACCCGAACACTAGAAATATCCGAACAGGAAAACCATACGAAAGGGTTACACTCCTGGCAGTCAGCATACAATCCCATTCCCCCAATAACGAGACGACACTTCGTTTTGAGGGTTAAGCAAAATCTCCAGATTTATTCCCACAACCTCCATGCAAGGGAGGAATCCACAACAATTAGTACCCCAGCCAATAATGTACCCGTTACCTCCCACACATCTCCTCCCATTAGTGTGACACATAATCCCATTAGTACAGACACAAATTCCCTGGGTTACTGGATGTACCCCTAAACATAGGGTTACCCCTTTAAATGTTACATCTCCTGGTAGCCCTGATCTGAGTGAGACACATATCCAAAAATCACCCAGATCGGACCAGGGGTTCGGGAATTATGGAGGGTTAAAGTTTTGACCGACTGCATGGCAAAAGTATCCGAAAATAGTTCCATGTATTTTGGCCCTGCAGTCGGTCACAGAAAAGGGAATGAAAACACATGAATTGCCTGGGTTATAGAGCCTGGGGAGTTTAAACGAATTCCCTTGTTCGTGCGCTTCTTTCTACCGAACGGCGGGTCATTCGGTAGTTTCCACACGAATTCATGGAAGTCTGGAGGTCTCAGCGGTGTTTGCCTAGTCGAGTGTCCGATTTTAGTTCCAGACACTCGACGGCAAAACACCGCTGTTCGGGAGTTTAAGATGGCCGCCGCCACGTGTTCGTTTCCCGAATGTCGGCCACCCAGAGGACAAAACCACACATTACATCGATTGCCAATTACCCGTTTCCAACATTGTTGCAAACGGTAATTGGAGGCACACTTATTCCTGGGTGGTCTGGCTGTTCGGTAGTTTCACTCAATATAATGAATGCAGTGATTCTATCGAACAATCAGGGGAATGCTGCATACACATATACAATTTAGCCGAACACACAGAAACATACATAATATAAAAGACATCCTTACTGTAATCTGCTACAAAGTCTTAAAGGGATATTGTTCCCAAAAAGTCATAATATGTCCACGGATGGCCCTTAAAGGGCCAGTAGCAGCAATATACAATACCACATGCCCAAATATTGCATTCAAAAGTACAAATTTTTCAGGGGCCATAGTCAGCAGGTAGGAGGCGGTCAGCCAGGCCTCTCCAATGTCCAGTGGCGAGGCAGTTTTCTCCACAGTTTTTATCAAACATTTTGTTCGTACACAGAATAAACAGCCTGAAAATCAACTGACTGATAATACAAATACCGTATTTTCCGGCGTATAAGACGACTGGGCGTATAAGATGACCCCCAACTTTTCCAGTTAAAATATAGAGTTTAAGACTAACCCCTCTTCCAATGCACACCAAATAAAAATTAGCCATGATTTACAGTGAGCAGACAGAGCTACACAGCAAGATAATCTGAAATAGCATTTAATGCCCAGGTATGTGCCAGGCTGTTTGGGCATATAATCTTTATGCCCTTTAATTCTTTTTATTCTTTTTACTCCCCCCCCCCCCAATCCTCCCTACATTCTTCTCACCTCCGCTTCCCTGTGCAGAGTGGGTGGCCGAGCTCTTCTTTGTCCTGTCAGTCCTGCCGGGTACCGCGCGATACAGGAGATTCAGTTACCTGTTCCCGGCCGGACTGACAGGACGAAGAGGAGCTCGGTCACCCACTCTGCACAGGGAAGGGGAGGTGAGAAGAGAGGCAGTGCGGCAGCCGTCTGACCGCTCTCTATAGAGCGCTCAGGCGGCTGCAGCATTAGAAGGGCCGGCGATGGGGGCGCAGGGCGCCCCCGGCTGCCATATAGACCCTATACCCGGCGTATAAGACGACCGCCGACTTTGGAGAAGATTTTCCAGGGTTAAAAAGTCATCTTATGAGGCGGAGCCTAGCCACCAGAGAGAGAAGTCGCACGACACTGCAGCTCCGACCCAAAAGCGGACAAAATCGCAAATTTAAGGGTCACCCCCGGCCATAACGAGCCCCCAGACGTCGGACCCACACACCTAACGACTATGGGACGCAAAACCAAAAAACCCAAGCAGGATCAACCTCACCTTGGGATGAATATCGGAGAAATGTGGCGCCTAGCACATGGCACGGCAGGGCCCAAGATGGCCGACCTGTCGGGCGGTTGCTTCGATTTTTCGGACGACCTGGCTTCCGAAGAGGAAGAGACGCCTGAACTCACGCCGGCTAAACCCCCACCGACGAAACCGGACACATCCCCGGTCACACTATCGGCGCTCAAGGGTCTCCTTGCCGACCTACAGACCACCCTGCAGGCTGACATTGCCACAATCAGGGGAGGGCTGCAAGGACTGACAGGCCGAATTGACAAGCTGGAAACCACCACTCACCAGGACTCTCAGCGTATACAGGTGCTGGAGAAAGCGGTGCAAGACCTCCAGCGGCAGAACCAGACCCACGAATGCCGCTTTGCAAATCTAGAAGACCTACGGCGGAGGAATAATTTGAAGCTCCGGGGGGTGCCTGATGCTGTCCCTGAAGCGGAGCTGCCACACCTGGTGCGGAGAATGATGGGGGATCTCCTACCACAAAAACAAGCGAAAGCAACACCCCTGGATGGGCTTTTTAGAATCCCCAAACCGGCCAGAGCCCCACCGTCGACATCAAGTGACCTGATAATTCAATTCAGGCACGGAACAGACAAGGCGGCGATCCTGAAGGCAATCAGGGGTAGGCCAAACTATCGTTTTGAAAACATGGCACTGGAATTCTATAATGACCTGTCCGGCAGCACGATGGCCTGGCGGAGGTCCCTCAAGCCCCTCACATCCATGCTCCAACAGGGAAACATCGAGTACCGCTGGCGAATGCCCCGCATGCTTCAGATCATACATGGAGAGACCACATACCAAATCCAAGACCTACGAGAGGCAGACACACTCCTGAGGGA